ATAATTAAGCATCCCACTGTCTCTTTCTTTATCTTCCTCTTTCGCGGGATGCTGTCGACACACGGATGCAGCACACATGCGTGTAAAAATACAGTACCGACCATAGAACTCTTGATCCAGTATACTGCAAACACCATAATATTGTTCACATTCGTGCGTATATATTGGCTGGAACAGTGCCGTCTTTCTTCTTCTTCTTCTTCTTTCCCTTCAGCTGTACTGGCTGGTGCCTCCAACCACCACACCAGCAGAGGTCCAAAGCGAAACGCGTTCCTCTGGTGATCTATGCATCGACTTGTGCTCGCCGAACCGGGCAACCGTGTCTGTCCCCCTGCCCTGCTCTTGCTTACTTTATTATCGGAGGTTCAAATGAGAATTTATGTAGACATAAACGCTCGTGTCAGCAATACCCTGGCGTAGGAGGGGGGAAGATAACCCAGCATTTATTATGTTATATATACCCAAAATATTTTTATAAAATATTACCTAGAGTTTGTGAAAAACTGGGGATGATTTGAGATTGTCAATATTTAAATTGCTTTTGAAATAATTTCTTCTTGGAGTAATTTTTGCCAATATCTAAAAATAAAAATATGTGATAATACTAACCCACAATACGAAATTAGGACTGATTTGAGTAAATAATTTTGAAGAACTTCATCTTCTTAATTTGAGTAGAAAAATTCTTAAACTAAGAAATTTTTCTTGGTTTAAATAAATTTTACTTGATTCAAGAATTTTTCTCTTGATTCAAGACAATGAAACTCTTCAAAATTGTTTTCTTCAAATTAGTTTTTTTTTCAGTGTAGAATTGTGCTTTTTAAAAAATTTTTTTTACAATTCTAAGATCTACAAATAAGTCAAATTAATTTTAAAAATTTTACCACGTGTGACATTAATAATACTAACCCAGATTTCGGAACGGATGTGTGGAAAAAATTTCAATGACCTCTAAATAAATAAGAGGCGGAAGATTATGGATAAGATGTATGAAATGTGTACTGAGAAATAATTGACTGGTTGGAGAATGGAGATTCAGCTGCGTTTAGGTGGATTAACGCGGAAGTTACCGTCACCACAAATCATTATTAGCATATTATCGTCGACACTTATCAGGGTGTCGCACTCTGCAGTGACTCTACTCCCTCAAATAAAAGAATATCCATAAATCACAGAGTGTCTCCGAGCTGGCGCTATAATTCATTCGTTAACAGGCATATAATTATATGATGCTGGATGTTCTGTGCATGAGCTGAGCGAACCTGAGAAGAGTCCAGAAGATGATGGAAATAAGTATTAAATAATGCAATAATAACCATAAATATGTGTAACTAAATTTCATCGATGATTTTCGCATAGTTGACTAGAAATAATATGTATTATGGTGTTCGCCCACACGCGCACGCTAACTTTAAGCCAACCTGGCGGATAATGATAATAGGATGGTAATCAACTTTTAAACATTTTAAAATGTGTTTAACGCAAACAACCGAGGATATTGAGCACACCAATTAATCAAGAGATTGTAAATTGTAATGTTGAGGTCAGAAAAATTCAGAAGGTCAGAATCATATTTGTAAGACCTAGTCAAATGTAGTGAACATTTAATAATTTAAAAAAATTGTGAATATTAAAAAACTGTTTAGTTGAATAGTTACTTTAAAATATATAAAATTCAAAAGAATAATACTGGCGTATTGCCTAAAATTTTTTTCTTATGACATCTAATAAAAAAAAAAAATTGCTAGTCAATCATACCAAGAAATTTTGATGAGACTTTTTATGAGATTGATTTATTTTTAAATATCCAAATATTCAAGATTCATAATTTGAGATAATTTCATTGCATAAATAAAATAAGCAGTTTAAAAGTTATTCCAATAAAACCACATTCGAAAAAATTGTTTTTGGTGGTTTTTTTGAGATTTCTCAATCGGTTCAAATCAGTCCAAATTCTATTCAAAATCTAAGTTTGGTCAAGCCCTTTCGAATGGCGCCAACGGTGATTAAATCGGTCAAGCCATTCAAAAGTTATGAAAGGTTTACATATGGCCATACACACACACACACACACACACACACACACACACACACACACGCGCGCGCGCGGGGTAAGACCAATAACTTTCCAATTTTTGAAAATTTTCAAATGTCTTAGCGGGAAATTAAAAAAAGGGAAAAACTACATTCTGAATAAGTAATGAGTCTCGCTTCAAATGTAAAACTAGAAAAATTATCACAGTAAAAAATTTTGCGTCATTGCGTCAAAAAACTTAGTGTTAAAAATTTTTGTGTTAAATATTTAACACTCTTTTATGTTGATTTAACATTTATTGTGTTAAATCAACACCAAAAAGTGTTAAATCAACACAAAAAAGTGTTAAATATTTAACACAAAAATTTTTAACACTAAGTTTTTTGACGCAATGACGCAAAATGTTTTACTGTATACAGTTCGCAATAACATTTCTAATATTCAAACTTTAAATGTTAATTTTTACATCTATAAATATGTAATATTTACATTTTACAATGTAATTCTCACAAAACCCGTAAAAATTACAATCTGAAATTGTAATTTTTACATTTTTTTATATGAAGCGCCAAGTTACATTGTATAATGTAATTATTCTCTTTTTTTTCATGAAAAAATAATGTTAAATTTAGTTTTCGGTTTATAGAAGTTGCTTAACAAAATTTAATTTTTAATAAATTTTCAAATTCAAAATTATTGAAAAAAAAATAATAAAATATATCAAAAAATTGATTTGTCCATGTTTTAAATACATGATTTACTTAAATTTAATAAATTAATTTAGTTGTCTTAAATTTAATCATAATATAATTTTTTGAAATTCTAATTTTTTTTTAAATCTTAAACTTCTGATCATATTTCAAATCATCATCATTATTACGCATGACATATTATTTAAAAAAAATACCATCATATCACCCTTATTGTTTACTCGTAATTTTTTGTTCATATAATATAAACATTCTGTAAATTTTCCATGAATACTTAAACATCCTGTTCCTTCTGAAAATACTCTCAAAATAACTACTGAATTCCAAGAATAAGAACCCTGTCATATATTGATGACTACAAAAATAAATAAAATTACCCATAGTAGATTGAAACTCGAACAAAGAGACCCTGGATCAGTATAGCAGGTATGTATTCTTCTTCCATCTACAGTACATAATTCGGATCAGCAGTTAGCAGGTAAGGCAGACTCAAATGAGTACCTGCTTTCTCTCTATTCAGTTACAGGTTTGAAAACACAATACAGAAACCCGGATTTGCGCACTGGCAAGCTGTAAACGCTGGCGTCATGGCGTCGTAGAAATAAGAAAGCTGAGCGTCACTGACTAACAAGTGCCCCGCCACCTACAACTCTGTTGTCAAGAGCTTCCGAAATATTTCACAGCGCTGCGGTCGCCCAGCCAATTGCTTGGGGAAAATCCGCCATCTTTACATGACAGATCTCCGCAAGATACCGAGGAAGCTGGTGTTACGTGTGAGTAATTTATTGTTATCGAGTGATTCATAGGTGATAACCAACCCGGATCCTCCAAGTACCCCAGTGGTGTATACCTTGATAGCGGTGAGTATTCCTGATTAATTAAAATAAAAAAAATAATTGGAATAAACAATAATATTTGGTGTGTTTACCTAGGGTGTGTCAAAGTGTGTTACAAAGTGCGCTCTCTCTATTCTCAGTACAGTCATAGTTTCTGTCTCACTCCCGCTGATGATGCATTTGGACTCAGTCTTTTCCAGTTACTTCCCTTCTCTCTCATGAAACTGAAGTTAGCAGAGTCTAAAAAAATTTTTGAATTTTTTTTTTATTTTAAATTAAATTACAACTAAAAAAATATTTCTAAAAAATTGCACTTGTAGTTTTTCAAGTTTTTTACATGTGAAATTTTTTTTTTTAATCGTTTAATTGAAATTTCTTCAATAAAAAATTTCGAAATGTCAGCTAACTATGAAAATTAATTTAGCCGACATCTAAAAATTTTTATAATTTTTTTTTTCATTGAAAAAAATTATTACAAATAAATAAAAAAAAAAATATCACCTGTAAAAAACTTGACAAACTATCAGTGCAATTTTTTAAAAATATTTTTTAGTTGTAATTTAACAAATTAAAAAAATATCAAAAAGTCGGCTAACTTTACTATCATCAGCTAACTTCATTTTCATTCTCTCTCTGTCTTTATTTCTCTTTAAAGTTCTCTGACTTTGTTGCCGCGTTCCTTTCATCATTACGCGGACGTGTAGAGTGTAGAAGTTGCTCACTGTAGTGGAGTGAGATTGAGGAAGCACCCCCCCGGGCCCTCAACTCAGGTCGGGCTGTATTGCCCGTCGACGCTCGCGCAGGACTTGTCATGAAAATGGTGATGCATTGGATTCTGCAATCCTTTGTTGTGCTTGACAGTCACAGGGCTCTTTGACAAAGAGAGAACGAGTAAGATCTAAAGCTAAATACATACGATATACCACACTATGGATGTGGATGGTATATATGTACGGCGTTACGGTATACTGTGTTCCGCTTGCTCCTCGTGAAATACCACCCCCGCGCTAGACGGCTCTCATACACCAGCGTCATAGTCGTTGTACTCTCGTTTATTGGAAAATCTTGAGCGTCCTTTCTGCGCGACTTTGTACACGTTTTAGCAAATGCGCACCGATGTTTAAGTAACGCTGAATAGAATGTAGAATAGAGAATACGGATAACTAACGATACTTGTGCTCAAAAGTTCAATCTTTTTTTATTAGTTTTCACTGTAGATTGCGATTCGACACGAGATTCAGTCCACTCCAGCATCTTCCGGTTGAAATACAAGCATCCTACGCGGTGACTGACCCTTTGTAGTTGTCTATACAATCTTGTGTACGCTAACGACCAATTAACAACCTCAATATTATACTTGCTAATTTTTATTATCGTAATACTCCATTTCGTCATTTGACACTCGGGTGAAAAATTTGTTTTGATTTTTTTACTACAATAATATTATTGTTTTTCAGGTGTCTACATACAACTGGAGCCATGAGTTCCAATCAAATGAGACCTGGTATGTTTATTTTTAAATAAATGTGCTAAATTTATAAAAATTTATGAATATTTTATTCAATACTAGCTGTTACTCGCCCGTTCTGCTAGGCAGTTTATAGAATTGCATTTTTAGATCTAGACTTGAAATTTAATTAGAGTATTAAATAATATTCTATCGAATTGGCATGCACCTTTTATCCATATAATTATTCTAGCTAATATTCATTATAAATTTCAATGTGCAAGCATTATAACATTCCCGAGTCTTTCTTACAAAAATGAATGACATTAAAGTTAGCAGTCACAACAATTTTTTAATTTTATTTAACAAAGAAATTTCTCCCAAAAAATCATATTTAAAAAATTGCATTTTTTAGTTTTTACAATTTTCAAATGTCAATTTTTTTTTATTATAATTTATTTTTTATAGAATTTTAAAAATATATGCTAAATTAATTTTCATCAAAAATGAATAATAATTGATAAGAAAAAAAAAATTTGTAATGAGCATTAAAAGTTTCAGTTAAAGAAATTGCAGGTCTCATAAGTAAACAAATCTTCTAAGTATATAAACATTAGATTTGTCTGTAAAGACAAAAAAAAAAAACAATTATACCATTGATTTTTAAATGAATTTGAGCTTTAAACTGTTGATAGTTTTAATTTATACAGTCGAATAAATTGATAATAAATATTTTGTATTTTTAGTGTCTCATGGTAACTACCAAGGACCGGGTGACTTACCAATGGGTTCAGCTAAAGAGCAGACCCTGATGTGGCAGCAAAATTCATACATGGGTGACTCTGGTATCCATTCTGGAGCCGCTACACAGGCTCCATCATTGTCAGGAAAGGATGACGATGAAATGGAAGGAGATCAACTGATGTTCGACTTGGATCAAGGGTATCCTCAGGGATTTACTCAAGACCAAGTTGATGGTAATGTATATTTTATAATAGCTTAAAAAATATTGAACAAAAGGAATTTATTGACTGGGATATTATCAATTTATATTCCATTCAACATTGATTTCTTAAACTTACAAGTGCTTGAAGCAACATAAAAAAATGTATTAATATTTATATGAATTAATTGAAGTAAATTTTCCTCTTTATAATCTATCTGAGTACTTGATACAGTAAAGAAATCATTAAAACGTTTGACAAAAATAAAAATAAATATTAATTAATTAAAACTTTTAAATCTGAGCATGAGCAATTAATAACTAATTAAAATTTTATTTAAAAAACCAGAAATGAATTCACAATTGAGCCATACACGTTCACAACGTGTACGCGCAGCGATGTTCCCGGAGACATTGGAAGAAGGTATTGAAATTCCATCGACTCAATTCGACCCGGCTCAGCCGACAGCAGTTCAGCGCTTAGCCGAGCCGAGTCAGATGCTGAAGCACGCGGTTGTCAACTTGATAAACTATCAAGACGACGCGGACTTGGCAACTCGAGCCATTCCGGAGCTGATAAAGCTCCTTAACGATGAAGATCAAGTGATCGTATCTCACGCAGCCATGATGGTCCATCAGCTATCAAAGAAGGAGGCTGCTCGGCACGCCATCATGAACAGCTCTCAGATGGTCGCGGCTTTGGTTCGCGCTATCTCCAACAGCGACGACCTGGAGTCGACAAAAGCTGCCGTGGGCACTCTACACAACTTGTCTCACCACAGACAGGGTCTGCTGGCTATCTTTAAAAGCGGTGGAATCCCAGCTCTTGTTAAGCTTCTCAGCTCTGGTGTCGAGTCTGTTCTATTCTACGCCATTACAACTCTCCACAACCTTCTGCTCCACCAGGACGGCTCAAAAATGGCAGTACGTTTGGCTGGTGGACTCCAAAAAATGGTCGCGTTACTTCAACGTAATAACGTCAAATTTCTGGCTATTGTCACAGACTGTCTCCAAATTCTCGCTTACGGTAACCAGGAAAGTAAACTCATTATTCTCGCTTCACAAGGGCCAATTGAGCTTGTACGTATCATGCGCACTTACGATTACGAGAAGCTATTGTGGACTACTTCACGTGTTTTAAAAGGTTATTTTTTTTATTAAATTATAAACATTTACTTGAATATTAAAATTTATAGCGTAATACTGATGATAAATTTAGATTTTTAGTTAATTGGCTGTCTAGTCTAATACAACAATTTTTATTTTTTCGTAATTACAATTCATGTCTAAATTTTTCATTAAGGCAGTTGTGGTTAAAGCCAAGCGTCAGAAAATTATGAAATTTTTTTTATCGAAAGATAAATATATTAATAATTCACCACCAAAATTTCAGATCAATTTACCACATCGTTTTTGATTAATTAATTTTTGAAATTGCATCTTTTACACGTAGAGGTATAGAGAGATGCAATTTCAAAATTGCATCTGGTAAATTGATCTGAAATTTTGGTGGTGAATTATTAATACATTTATCTTTCGATAAAAAAAAATTCATAATTTTCTGACGCTTCTCCTTAACCACCACAACTACCTTAAAAATAAATTTAACTGAAAAAATAATTCAAACGGCCTAGACCAGGATTCAAATGATACCTTTGTAGAATTGTGGCTAAATTGTATATGCCTAAAGGGAAATAAAAAGTATAAAATATTTTAATATTCAGGCTAAAAGTATTAAAAACCAGTCTAAGAAAAAATAAATATTAAACTGATGATCTTTTAATAAATTACAGTATTATCAGTATGTGCGAGCAACAAGCCAGCGATCGTTGAAGCTGGTGGTATGCAAGCACTCGCAATGCACTTGGGTAACCCAAGCCAAAGACTTGTTCAAAATTGTCTCTGGACTCTGCGGAATCTTTCGGACGCTGGTACTAAAGTTGATGGCTTGGAAGGACTGCTCCAGAGTCTCGTACAAGTTCTCGCATCCACAGACGTCAATGTTGTCACCTGCGCTGCTGGAATTCTTTCAAATCTCACATGTAACAATCAGCGTAATAAGGTAAACAATATTTAAATTTTAATTTAAAAAATATCAATAATTTTATCAATTATAATATAATACAAAAGAAATGTTTATTAAATAGATCACAGTATGTCAAGTCGGAGGTGTTGAAGCTTTGATTCGCACAATCGTAAATGCTGGGGATCGTGAGGAAATAACAGAACCGGCGGTCTGTGCTTTACGTCACTTGACATCACGACACGTAGAGGCTGAAATGGCACAGAATTCCGTGCGCGTAAATTACGGTATACAGGTGATAGTTAAATTACTTCACCCTCCGTCACGCTGGCCCTTGGTTAAGGCTGTTATTGGTTTGATTCGCAATCTGACTCTCTGTCAAGCTAATCACGTGCCTTTACGTGAACACGGTGCTATTCATCATCTCGTCAGGCATCTAATGCGAGCATTCCAAGACACTGAACGAGTAGGTTTATTAATAATAATAATAATAATAATAACTGTTATTATATTAAATATTTATTTATAGATTTAGATAAAATAAATAAATAAATAAATAAATAAATTTATAGCAACGAGCATCTGTCACTGGCATGGGAAGCCAGCAAGTTTATGCAGATGGAGTACGTATGGAGGAAATTGTCGAAGGAATTGTCGGTACGCTCCACATTCTCGCGCGAGAGTCTCACAATAGAGCAATCATACGATCTCAAAATGTCATTCCTATCTTCGTACAGGTATAAATTATTTTGAATAATTTATTAACACTATTCATCAATAATAGCATTAATTAATGAATCATTCATATTTGTTTGCTTTGTCAATAGTTACTGTTTAATGAGATTGAAAATATTCAACGAGTCGCTGCGGGTGTGCTCTGTGAGCTGGCAGCCGACAAAGAGGGTGCCGAGATGATAGAACAAGAGGGTGCCACGGCACCGCTGACAGAATTACTCCACTCGAGAAACGAGGCTGTCGCAACTTACGCCGCCGCTGTTTTATTCCGTATGAGCGAGGACAAACCCCAAGACTATAAAAAACGTATATCAATGGAGCTGACAAATTCACTACGTGAAGATACGAATATGTGGAATAATCCAGATTTCGGAATTATGGGCCCAGATTTACAGGTAATATTATTTTTTCACTTATTAATTAGTCGCATATTTTATTTAAACGTTCTGAGTAAAAGTATGTTTTATTGGACGGTTAAAAGTAGGATGAATGTAATTATGATGAATTTATTATTATTATATACGAATCGCTCAAGCGCAAGCTTTTAATTTTTCGTACTATTTTATTTAAATGTCACTTTGCAGTTGCTAAATGTCAGTAGTTTTGAGTATACAATTTATCATTTTTATTTATTACTTTTCCTGTTTTATTTTTAAAAGTACTTGCACACTGGCACAATAATTTATTAGAATAATCCATGTACCAATTATTTATTATTTATCACTAAGACATACGATTGACATTGTACTGTTAAATCCACTCGTATGTCTAGAAATAATAAATCAGTAAAAATATTAGTATTTATTTGTTTTGGCACTTTCTTCTTAAATGATCTCACTCACATTGCTCAGTGTTAAAAATAAATTCATAGATAATATAGATATACGCAAAAGTGTCATAACATTGAATACTTAAATTAATAATCCCAATTACCTAAGTTTGCACATGTATGTTAACTCCATTTGTTTGTTTATTGTCCCACAATAATAAAACTCTTCTCAGTAATTTCCCCCACATATTATTAGACATTTTTGTTGATCCTTGGTACATAATCTTCAGGACATGCTCGGTACTGAACCAGGCTATGATGGTATGTATGGACAGGGACCCCCTAGCGTTCACAGCAGTCACGGCGGACGTGCTTATCAGCCTCAAGGTAAGTCGTAAAATTCATTTTCATTCACAATACTATCGTTGATCAACTCTCAATTTCAATTTATCAGACCAATATTTAATTTAAAAAATTCTACTTTACTTCAAGTAATATTTTACAAAATAATAATTTTTATTATCTATATCATTTTAGTTAAAAAAAAATCTAACTAACAAAGCCTGTCCTGTTTAATTAATTGGATAAACTTAAAATAATCTTTGTTGGCAGCAGCATAATCTATGGATTTAATTTTAAGTAATCAACTACCATCAAAATAACGCAGTAACTAGGTGAAAGTTCATATAAATAAAATAGTGTTGAATGCTGTAACACAAACACGATTGCTTGCACTGCTAATTTTCATAGAATTACTTTTTTTTTTTTTTGCTTGAATTATAATCACGCTAATGCATGTGTGTGTCTGTAATAATTTTATAAAAATAGATTATTAAATTTATATGTTTGATTTATTTGTGGATAAAAAATCTAAAGGGACAAAGTACTTTATCCTTAGAAAAAAAACTCAAAGTAAAGGTAATACAAAAAAACTCTCGAGCCGTATGAAAGCATGAGCAATTCACGAACTTCTCGTGAGCTGTATTTTGCACTGCCTTTAATCTTTTTCCTCTTTAGATGTTTGTTGAAGCTGAAAAATCAATAAAATGCCTTCCTTTATTCTTTCTTCTTAAACGGTTCATTTCTTCAGCTTATCTTAAGCTAGAATCGCCGAGATTGTAAATTATGTAATTGATATATTAAAATAATAATAATAATAATAATAATAAAAATAATCACAGTAATAATAGTTGAATAATGAACCAGAGTTTTTGATGTTTGAGTTTTTTATAGCACTGATTAAACGTTCGAGATGAATATTTGCAGCAGACGCTTGTCGTCAGTATATAAAAAAAAAAAATAAAATAAAAAAAATTGTTTTGATTTAGCCGAGTTTTAATAAATATTTTTTCTTTCAACTCAACAGCAAGTTATGACCAGATTCCAATAGACTCAATGCAAGGATTGGAAATAGGGGGATCAACTTACGGCGCAATGGACGCGATGGACGTCGGACATGACCCGGATCTGAGTTTTGACCACATTGACGAACTTCCAGCGCCTCCACAAGACAACAATCAAGTAGCCGCTTGGTACGATACCGATCTCTAAGCCCGACATAATTTATTGAATCTATAATTAATAACGTAAACATTAATACAATAACATAAAAGTAAAAATAAAAATAAAAAATAAACAATTACTTAAATGATAATGATGATGATAAAATAGCTGCCGGGTCCAGTGTGAGGCAATGAATATTATTTTCATTTTCCTTTTTTATATTTTTTAGCGACTATTTTACTTTTATTTTTTTTTACATAATTATTTTTTATGTAATCTTATCATGAATAACGTAAATTCATTTATTCGATATTCTTTTTTATATATTATTATTACTTATTATAGTTAAGGATGACTGGAAACAAAAACTATTGTATAACTTATCAACGCAATCAATTGTTAATTTTGTCTATAATAATATATACACATAAATCTACGCATAGTAAATAAGGAACAATTAAAAAAAAAAAAAATTGAAAGAACAAACGGGTCTGTTAAATTACCGAGCGACTCGAGGTACTATTAATCTGAACAAACTATTTATACAATTGTCAGAATATTAGCGTACTGTTGGATTATTTACATAAAATACTAATATTAAACCTAAAAGTACTGCAATGAATTTTAGAAATTATGATATATATAAATATAAATTTTAAAAATAATGCATTTTACAGGGTAGTAAGATTTTAAAGGCGAAGATGAACAAAAAAGTTGATAAATAAATTGATTAAAATTAAATAAATACATTTATATCTATATTACGATTATGATTATGATCATGATTATTATTATTATTATTATTACTATTATTATTATTATTATTTGATTTATTAATGTAGAACAAAAATGCACTGGTTTGTAATAACTCGTGTGCCATCAAATGTATTGACTTTAAAGTGAAAAAAAAGCAACATGTAATTCGTAATACTCGTATATATTTATTTTAATCAACAACCTTGAAATTAATAAGCATCCTCCTAATCTATATTATTAAGAGAATAAGCAAAATTTTGTGGCCAGTGTATTTATATGATAAAATGGGTTTTTATGGTTAAATTTGGTATCGTTGGAAAAGTCTTGACCTGGAGTTGTGGCTTTTCATGGTTTCATATCATTCTCACCAATAGTCAATTTATTATGATAAGTACTTAGGCTGCATTCGAAAATGCTCTATCTCTGGATACATAATTAAGAAATGACTTTGTATCTTGTGAACTTTAGACATTTTTAAAGATATAAGCTCATCCCGATGTTCCACTCATCAAGACCTTTCATTTGAGTACCCACATCAATTTTTCATATATTTATATATATTATATATATATGTATATATGAAAAATATATCAAAAATGCAAGTGGGTACTCAAATGAAAGCTCGTGATGAATGTAACATCGGGATGAGCTTATATCTTAAAAAATGTCAATAATTAAGAACTGACTTTGCTATCTTGTCAACTAATGATATTTTTGAAGATATAAGCCCATCTCGATGTTACACTCAGCGAGACCTTTCATTTGAGTACCCACATCAATTTTTCATATATTTATATATATTATATATATATTTATATATGAAAATATATCAAAAATGCATGTGGGTACTCAAATGAAAGCTCGCAATGAGTGTAACATCGGGATGAGCTTATATCTTTAAAAACGTCAAAAGTTAAGAAATTACAGTGCTATTTAACAAAAATCATTATTTAATTTATTTATTTATAGTTCACAAGTCACGGCAGTCACATAATGACTGCAAGGTTGCTAGTATATAATATAAATTTATTCTCTGAGACTAACAGTACATAAATAAACAAAGAAGAGTTTACTGATTTAGATCAAGAGCTTTCACCTGTGTCCAAAATAAATCATCGTATATAAGTGACCAAAGTGATGCAGTGGTTGTTTTTGGTTATTTTGACAGAGAGAGACAAAGAGTTGTTTCCGGTGGGACTTAAGACAGCTGGGACCAGCAAGCTGGTGGTATCAAGAGAATGGAGTCAGTATTCAGTATACGGCAGTAGCTCGGTTCGTACGGGCATTCTCTTACTCGATTAACAGATTCCATTCTCCACATAACACGCGTATGTACTTTAAAAACGGTTCAATTGCAATATCTGCAGGTGGTGAACTTAAATCGACGATACGATAAAATAACAGTAAATAAATCAGGATCTATATCATAGCACACATATATACTATTATATGTTGTATATCCGAACAGAACCCAAGGTGTATTTAATCTCAAACATTTCTACTTGAAATTTAATAACTTGCATAGTGCACTTGAGACTCCTGCAATCTAGCAGTTATTTAATAATATAACCTGCTCTTCCATTCGACACTAGATATTTGATCCTGTTGAAATCATAGACTCGATACATTGCTAAAAGTAAATTATCAATTTCACTTGTCCATGAACTGCTTTTCAATAACCTGCTGCTGGAAATAAAATAATAAATTTATATCATATTAAAGTGATAAATAAATAAATAAATAAAGTTAGCAGTCACTAGAGAATTTTTTTATTTTATTTAACAAAAAAATTTGCTCCAAAAAATTATTTTTAAAAAATTGCATTTTTAATCTATTAAAATTTCAATTTTTTTTATATTTTTTTTGCCATAATTTATTTATTAAAAAAACATTTAAAATTATTAAATATCTGCTAAATTTATCATAAATTTTTACCAAAAAATTATTTTAAAAAAATTGCATTTTTAATTTATTAAAATTTCAATTTTTTTCTCATTTTTTTTATGACACTAAAGTTAGCAGTCACTTGACTATTTTTTAATTTTTTTCAACAAATAAATTTGATCCAAAAAAATTATTTTTAAAAAATTGAATTTTCAATTTTTTTAAATTTCTGCTAAATTAATTTTCATATTTTTTTTATGCAGTAAATTATTAGAAAAAATTATTGGAGTTATTAAATATCTTCTAAATAAATTTTCATAAAATTAAATAAATAATTTTGAGATGTTCTCGTGATAAAATGAGACAGGAATAAACATTACCAGTAACAGTTGTCGATGCTGTTGCTAATACGTGAAAGTGTATCTACATGAAGTGTTTGCAAGTAAGACCGCTCGCTACTCCAGTCTCTTACTGTCTACTTGTTATTCTGAGGTAGGCCGCGGCAGCGACAGTCCCCGTTTACCTGGCAAGTGTTATTATATTAGCGGGAGAAATTCCCCGTCGTTTCGTCAAGTCGCCGGGCAATCAGAGTCCTCATCTGCTCGGGCTCCTGAGCAGTCCTCCTTGATATTACGTGAGTGACACTGAGGATGACGTGCAATACAATCGGCATCAGTGATTTAATCATATAAAATAAAATAAATAAAAACACTTATTTTTACGTGCACCTGCAACGGAGATTTATCATTAATCTATTTCCTTTTAATGGACGTGGGATAACGGTTAAAAAGCTTAAAAGACCGTTGTCGGATTTCATTGTCTTCTTGCTAATTAAGTGACAAATTATTTACAAGAACAACAATGCTTTTATTTTTGCTGTGTTGATATAAATGTGTGCCCACTTGTCTCTTTCACATGACAGACAGATTACGCTAAAAATAATTCTAAACTGTTAATTGCGTCTGTAATCTAAAATGGTTAATTATATACGATGTTTAAGTTGAATTAAAAGTGTAATAGTTAAAAGTGCACAAGTTGAATTATTTATTAATTGTTGTAATTATAATTTTATTTAATAAAATAATGACTGTTTCAATGGAGCATAAAAGAAAGACTTCATGGGATTCAAAGGTAAGATTTTTTTTTTTTTTTAATTCCGAGCGATAATTTATTTTATTTAGATTTACGACGCTGTTCTAGAAAATCAGTCCGACACTGAAAAAGAAATAAAATATTACTGAGCCGATTCTTGAACGACGCTCCCTGGTTTTTAGTTCAAAGAATTAAAATTAAAAACTGGACTAGATTTTTTCTGGTCAGTTTTTTTAAAAATAAAAACTACTTTAAAAAAACAAATAAAATATTTACAATTTTACCACTTTATAGATTGAAAATATATTTACTTAAATTAATTATCTTTTATCAATCAAATACTATGAGATAAAAAACTTTTCAAGTGGGAACGATAATTCAAAATGGCGAATGAAATTTCTTCTGGATGAAAATGAAGTTAGCTGACATTTCAAAATTTTTTATTGAAGAAATTTCAATTAAACAATTAAAAAAAAAAAAATTCACATGTAAAAAACTTGAAAAACTACAGGTGCAATTTTTTAGAAATATTTTTTTAGTTGTAATTTAATTTAAAAAAAAAAATCAAAAATTTTTAGACGTCTACTAACTTCAGTGTCATTTCTTCTCGATATTTCATTTGACCTTTTAATTGATACTTTAATTTATTACTCAGATATTTTCGAACCTTTACAGTGTTTCAATGTAAAAAAAAAATTGAGTTAATGTCAAATAGTGCGTTGGAGTATAAACAGAGGTTACAATGTAATGAGAGTTGGTACCTTTGGTCCAATCATCTCGAAAGTAATGCATTGGAGATAAAGTCACCCTTTAATAGCCTCTTGCTCTGGTGTACGGTGAAAGTGGAGCTCACATTTACCTTTAGAGTGTAAGCATAAGTGAATGTATGCTATTATTTATGCACACGAGCATGAGTACTAATTTTTTATGGTAAAATAATACACTGCAACCTTTCATCATTATTATTTGTCTTCAATGAGAGTAATACAAGACGTGAACTGATTTTTCCGCAACGAACGCGCAAGAACAAAGAATCATTATTTAAACTCAATTTTTTGGTGTAATAAACTGGTAATCTGATCTTTTTTAAGGTAATTGTTATTATTAGGTGGTTAGATTATGATGTGTCATCGCATCAGATTTATAATGGGTAATTATAAATGAGTTACAATTTTGAGAAAAGATAATTTGAAACAGTTTTATTTGAAAATCATTCTGACGTTACACTAAAATAACAATTTCACTTGAATCAAGAGTAACATTTTTAAACTAAAATCATTTTTCAGAGCTTCGTTTTGAATCAAAATGTAAAATTCTTGACACAGGAAAAATTTATTTGAACCAAAAAAAATTTTAAGTATTTTTCTACTTATATCAAGGCGATGAAACTTTTCAAAGTGATTTTTTTTGTTCAATAATTTTTATTTGAATTAATTTGAGTTTTTTTTTTTCTGTGCACCCGGAAAAAAATTTTTAGATAAAATTTTATGCCGAAAATAACCTAATAAAGTTTTATAAATTTCACATAATTCTATGTAGAAAATGATCTGATAAATTGCATAACATTTTAAAAATAAATTGATAAAAATTTTTATCAATAATTTTTTCGGGACTTAATAATTATTTTTATGAAATTTCACGAAACTTATTCATACAATTTTATGAAAATTTATCAAGTTTCAACATTAAAATTTTATGAAATTTTATAAAACTTTATGTCATCTTATAAAATATTATAAAATTTAATGAAAAAAATTTTCCCAGGTAGTCAAAATAAGAAACTTTGTCGGCTTAATTAGACGCTCCTTGTCTAAGGTTGTGATATAATATATCCATCACAAGCTTGATTTTATAAATACGAGCTAATTGAAGACTACTGGGCCCCTAATTCTCAACTTTTTCTTTAAACGTATTTTTATAGTAATTAAAATGTTTTTTTTGAACTGTAAAATTTAATTTTTAACTTCCCGCTAAAAATCTCAGATTTTAAAAAATCGGGAAGTTATTGTTTTCACTCCGTTTTACAAAAATCGAGTTTTCATCAGATCTCGACATTTGAAAGTAACAGGAAGCTTCCCTGACTATTTTTACGATGATGTCCGTACGTCTGTATGTGTGTGTGTGTGTGTAAACCTCTTGGAACTTTTGAACGACTTGACCGATTTCATCGCGGTTGGTGTCATTCGAAAGGGCTTCACTAAACTTAGATTTCCTGAAAATTTGAACCGATTCGGACCGGTAGATTTCGAGAAAATGCAAAAAAAGTGAAAAAAAAAGTTGTTTTTTTTATATTTTTTTTGAATATCTCCGAATTGGCTGAACCGATCGGTCTCAAAAACTAATCAGCTCTTAACCTTGAAAACCCCCATCGATCGCCACCAAAAACGTTAGAATCGGTTGATGCGTTCGTGAGATATCGTTGTCGAAAAAAATCGAAAAAAGTGTTTTTTTTGTAATAACTTCGAAATTCATGGCTCGATCGATTTAAACTTGGAAATTTTTCATGGAGCTTCAAAAACTGCGTCGATTGCCGCCAACCGCGTGAAAATCGGTTCATTCATTCAAAAGTTATTGCCGTTTGAAAATTTAAAAAATTGTGTCTTTAAACTGCTATTAGAGTTTTAAGCTCGAAGAGCTCAAAAACGTAATGTGTAGTTTGAAGCGTTTAAGTACAAAATGAGCGGGAAGTTGCAGGGATGGCCTTTAGGGTGAACCGTTTTTCTAATTTTTTTTTCTAGAATTCTTTCTTGTTAGTCGACATCGTTAAAACTGAAACAATCTTTTTTTTTCCATTGAAAATTAACGACCAATAAACAGTTATCTTGAGAACAAAGAATATTATTAAGAAACTATTAGTCGTGGATGATCAACGATTCTCGAAAATTCCAGTAAAGCTATATTGGCTTGAGGTAAAAGAATATAACGAATAATGAGTAATAAGATAAAGAATGAGAATTGAGAACTCAACCGCTAAAGTTCAGCCGATTGCGTAAACAAAAAGAGAGGAAGGGGTTTTAACACAAGAAGAAAGCGCGAGTCGTGTTCGCTGCATTTTTGGAATGCTAACAAGTGTCAGCAAATTTCTTGTCCGACCGGTCGATGGAAAAAAATATTATCATTTTCTTCGGATAAACGTTTATTATTTATATAACTTATAACTTTTATGCTTGCTTGGATAATTTAGTTTTTGTTTAAAATATACTTTCTGATGTTGGGTCACATGTTTACTTTTGCGTCCTATATAACTTTTGTTATTATTTAATATATTTGCGGAATAAATGAACTTCTGAACAAAGGAATGAACTCCAGGCGCGAGACCGCTGGATATTATGCCGAATAAAAGAATAACGTGATGATTCTCCGTTTGTAAACTTATAAGTTGTGACTGTACGTCGACCTTGTTCTCTGTTGACCTCTCACGTTCGGTTTACAGTCGTGTTTTGTATAAGGCTTTGTAGTATTATATCCACACATTCAGAACTGTGCTGAAAAATACAGTTTAGTTGGATACATATGTATAATATGTAGAGACACAATTGTTGATTTTTTTAATACGGAGTTTTTAGTTTATTTTGCCTAATAGAGAATGAAAGATATAATAAGATTTGTAAAGACTTTTTTAAGTGAAAATTTAATTTTCTATAAAAAAGATTTGTTATCATCATTTTCTATCTTCAATATTTTGCCCAGAATTTAAATTTTGGTAATTAGTTACAAGTGGGGTCAACCGATGCTAGGCCATGTTAAATTTTTTTTTTTAATTGTTCATTTTTTTATGTACTTTAAAAAAAAAAAAAATAGATCAAAAACATCAAAAAAAGATGAAAGCCAAAATTTTTTTTAACCTTTAAAGGCAAAAAAGCTATCTAAATCTTTATTTTTTCCTTTCACGATATTTTTGATCATAAATTCGCCGTAACAACCAGAAGAATAACAAAAAATAAAAAATGTTAATTTTTTACCTATGGCCCAAAATGGGGTTGACCCCACTTGTAAATAATTACCTGAATTTTAAACTTTTAGTATGAATTTTTCTTTTAAAATGACTGTATTTATTCAAAGGAAGATATAAAAAAAATTGATAAAAAATTTTTTACTGAAAAGAAAGTTTTTTTGATTGAAAAAAAAATATTTCTTTCAAATTTCAGTGTTATTTTAAAAAATTTAGCTTCATTAAATAATAACTTGTAAATGAAGATCATAAAATTTTGTATAATAATTTGATTTTCTCAAAACTCTTTAGTGTTTTCAAACAAAATAAATATTTTGCTTATTTTATTAAAATAAAATAAAGTCGGCAAAATTTTGGTATTTTTTGTACTGACAAAAAAATTTCAAATACGTTTTTAAAATTTACTGAAGCATAAGTTTAGTTTTCTAGATCGAAAAATTTTATTTGGAGTTTGATCTGATAAAACTTAAAATGAAAAAAAATTACTTGAGATATAAATTTCAAATTCTCAAAAGAAATTTTAATCTTTTAGTCAAAATATAATATACAAAAATCTTAATCCAAGAATTTGGAAGTCAAGAACAAAATAAATTCTAAAAGCAAGGCAACCAATTTTTTTATCTTTCTTCATAATCAAGCCTTGAAATTATCTCAAAAATTTTTGAACCACACCAAAAGAGTTGCTGACAGCATTTGTGAAATTAAAGTTAAAATAATCAAATAAACCAAGCCAGCGTGAATAATATTTAACTGCAGGCTGGGTCAGTTGGGTTGGGTCCGACAATGCCCATCAGGAAAGTTAAACACAATACTAGACCGTTCGAATATAAATACAAGTAGAACCAGAACCAGAATCAGAATCAGAACCAGAGAAAGAGTTTCCGACTCTGGCCAGGTTCGTGATACCGTTATCTCTCACTTCGTCATCTAGCCTCTTGTCACTTAGACATTTAAACGGTTAGATATAGACAGATAGACAGTAAGTATGTTTAGCTGTCCTGCCGCTAGCCGCTTTTTGAGTAAAGTCTTATTTTATTTTATTTACCTTTCCCATTAAAGTACTCCAAGGCCAACGGTTTCGCTTCCGTGTCATCACTATTATACTTAACTGAAGAATTGAAATAAACTTGCTGGCGATAGGATCTCTTAATTTTACCACGTGCATGCGCTCGAATGAACGATAGATAATAATAGAGGCATATAAAATGCATTTTAACTGCGATTACGATTAACGATGGATGAGTAATTGATGTAGAAAGTTTAAATTAAATAATAATAGCTCACGAGCAGTACTTCTACCTTAATTATCACGACTCGCGAAACGAATGGAAGAAGCAACTTGAGATATATAATATTTCCGATGAAAAATTGTAATTTAATTTGCTGCTTCCAGCGCATTCCTCTCCATCACTGACATTGACTCTCGTACTTTCTAATTTAATACATGGATTCATAGATCCTACATTTCCTCGAGATTTTAATTCAAGATTGCTAAATTGTCCGGAAATAAAGTTTTATTTTACAGATAAATATTCCTTCTGTTGATCTGTGAGCTGTTTTTTTTTCTTTTTTTCATGATTATTATTATACGCAAGAGTTAATACTAATACTAATATATATTTGTTATTAATTAAGTATTCCCAGACATGCAAAACCACCGGAGGAAGTATAATTACAGTAAATTGTGTTGTGGGAAATAAATTAAATTTAAAATATGAATTTCACAAATAATTTTATATTGATTATGATTGTAAGTTATAATTAAATAAAGCTGGTGAGACAGAAAGAAAACGGGGGTTAATGAACTCAATCTCGTAAGCTAAAAGAAAATATTAAAATTAAAGATTCGTGCTCCGAGTAATACAAGTACGCTCAAAACTTTCGTAACAGAGTGTGCCCTAAGCCTATTCCTTAAGAGAGTTCACCTCTCACCGGTCTATCATTTAAGTCTCTATCGAGTTTTACGTAACTTTTCTATTTATTTAATTAATCTGTTCCTGTATTCTATCCACTGAACTGAGATAAGACTTTACTAATGTGCAACGCTTGTTTTATCCACTTTTTTATTATTCTCGTGAGAAAATTAGCCTTTCCTTTTAAAACAATCTTTTCGAGTTCGCATTTGATAGTTTTGCTGTCGTGCAAATTTATAGAGAAAATTTTGCTCTTAATTATTTGCGCACTAAATTTCAAGTTTTTTTTTTTTTTTTTTTTATGGGCAGTTAACATGAAAATCCAATTTATTAAAGTATTCATAGGAAAATTAATTCTTTAGAAAAAAATTTCTTTATTAGTAATTATCAATATTTTGTGTTTTTTCTTATTTAAACATTAAATTTTTATTAATTTATTTATTTATTTAAAAATTTTCGAATCAAGTAAATTTTACACAAAAAAAAATTTTTTTAATTACAGAATTTTTCTGCTTGATTCAAGTAAAGAAATTCTTTAGAATAATTTTTTTGATTCAAAAGTTTTTCTCTGAAATCAAGTTAATCTTGTTATAATTATAACTTTTCTAATAACATACTTGTAGATTAAAAATTAATTAATTTAAAGAAGAAACTTTCGATATTTGGATTGTCTTGAATTGAGCAGAAAAATTATTTAACTCAAGAATTTTTCTACTTTCTTCAAAATAATTAAACTCTCAAAAATAATTTTTTTCATGGATCAATTTAATTTTTCTATTAGTGTAAATTTTTATAAACTAAAAAATTGTTTCTTTAAAAACAAATAAAGGTATTTACTGAATAAAAACATTAATTTTTTAAACAGAAACATTTCTTGAGTTGATAATAAATATTTCCCAAACTTTTTCACTATAATTTAATAATTTTTTATTCAACAAAAAAGATAATTTTCTTGACTCAAGAAGTTAACCTTTAGTTGCTAATCTTTAAGAACCATCAATAATTTTTATTTTACCATCTCCAAGATTTTGAAATAAACTTTCGAAAGAATACTCAGAAAACCGGCAGAATGACGGAAAATATTAACCTTTTATGCAAGGAATATATATTTTTATTAATTACATTTAACGTCTAGTTTTCTTATGAAGCAAATCTTATTAATAGCTGCACGAGAAGTGCAATCTCTGGATTGAGTGTTCTGTGGAGCGTGAGCCGCGAGTAACATTTGCTTGAGGAAGGCGTGGGGCTTTTGAACTGCTCTCTCTCTGTACAAATATAAAATAGTACCATAGTAATAGTAGTAGTACTACTGTAGAGAGAATTACGTGGACACAGAACGTACAACTGGTATGGAGTGAATAGAAGTAGGAGTAAAGTGTAAGTAGGAGAAGCCTATTGGCAACAAGTAACATGTAACTATAACTCACAAACATTTAAATTACATGGGTGTGTAAAAACACTGATTACGCATAATGTAAACTGAGTACTATTACACGGGTGTTTAAGCTAGTGGGTCATTGACTTGCATTGGGCATTAACCATACGCCTAACAATTGAAGCTAAATAAACTAATCAATCATCTCTGATGAGTAAAAGCGCAATATAAGCGGGTGACTCAAAACCGCAATAGAATAGTACACAGTAGGCGCGTTTTATAGCAGTTTTATCACCAAATTGGTAATAAAAAATTATTGGATAATGGATAATATAAAATGTAATTGGAAGCGAGTTAAGAGAGGAAGTGCCGAGAAAATATCATTACAGAAATAAGACAACGCCCACCTTTCTCGAGTCTAATAACCAATTTACGGATCTTCCTTTAGCAAACTAGTCACGTTACCCGAGTCTTTATATGGGTGCATTCAGCGAATCACCAGCGGGTAATTGTAAACGAGAGGGAAAATTAATTTGCTCGGTTTAGTTCTTTACTATATTGTATACTATACTATTTACACGACTTAAATAATCTAACATTTGTTTTTGCAGATTTCAGTGAGCACCGTCAGCACGCGAAGGTTCAGCCGAGCGGGAACCCCATCTTCCATCCTGTCTTCAGACAGTGACATAAGATTCACCAGGAAGCTCGGGGGCCAGTACCGATGCGGATGCTGCGTCCTTGCTGCTTTCCTCCTATTTTTACTTTTTTCTGGGGTCTCCATCTACCTCGGGTGTAAGTTTACCATTTTATTCTAAAAATTCTATTAATTTATCGAAGTTTCCGATCAAATTTTTAGATAAAATTTCCTACCAAAAGAATTATAGTTAGGATAATTAAATATTGAAGCGTATACAAAAAAAAAAACAATATAAATAAAATAATAGATACTACAGTGGTTGTTTAATAAAATAAATCAATCATTTATCTTTATTGAGTTATTTTTTTATTTAAACAATTATGATAAAAACATAATTTTTTTCACTAATTGCATTTGCACATGTACTAATGGTTACCCGATTTGTATCATTCTTGGAATCAGGGGCATTTAGTTCATTACTTCCTACAAAAATAAGATCCTTTCATTTATAGTGCAGTTTCATCCATATCAAACTATTAATCTTTTGTTGAGTTTTCTTTTTTTGTAATATCAGCTAATTCTTTTGAACATTCACTTAATTATTCTAACACCCGAAGATAACTTTTCACCAGTAATTTGTAGCAAGTGTACATCATAATTATTTTTCCATTTAGCCAACCAATTATTACTTGCCTTAAATCCTTAAATCCTCAACTCTCTACTTATTTAAAGCGTTTTTTCTTTCAAAACCGCACCAGAAATTACCATTTCATTTGTTCGAACTATCAGGAAGCATGAATATAATTTCTTGTTAATTTTACTGACATTTGAAGATTGTTTCTTTTTTATTTTCTCATCCATCTATTAAGTAGAGATTCATCAATTTTTAATTTATTACATAAATAAGTATAATTTCTTCTGTGTAGCTTAATGTTTTCCTTATTAACATTACTTGATGATTCAATAGAGCGTCCTGAATTTGATAAGATTACATTTACATTATTCAATAATAATTTATTGACACAACCTTCTATTTCTGCCAGCATCAATTTTAATTTTTTGTAAACAAATTATACTGTAAAAAATATATAAATTACAACTAAAATTATACATATTTTATAAAAATTTCGAAATGAAAAGACGAAATCGGAAAATTTGTACAAGAAAGATTATTATCAATTCATTTATATTCCTTAAAATTATACCTTAACAAAAATTGCTAAAAATAAAAATTTCCCCTTTCTTGATCTTAACAATCATCAATAAAATTATTTTCAATTTCAACCAACATTAATTCTTGATTAACCAATTTGTTTCATTCTTACGGTTTTACGCTCGACAAACTGCCAATGCTTCTACGCTTTTTCGCTTACGCAAAAATTACCTCCCATTTAAGGCGCGTAATCCAAATTTTCTTCCTTCAAATCTTTACAAAAAAACTCTTTAATTAAAAATTCAAATTATTGTAAAATTTCCCACTGAATTGCCCCTAAAATTTTCGGGCGCATTATTTAACATCGTAAATTTTTTACAACCAGAAGATATTTACGAGATAAGTACGAGATATAAAATATATATAAGATGGTGGTTCGGCCAAAGCCCATTGAGGTCTTCTGAGCGCGTGTAGCTAACGGTGTGACCGAGTTACCGACTTGAAATCCCCCAATCGAATCGATTACCGGTTCGTCCAGCCGCAAATGCATACTCAATGTATCCTTATTTAAATAAATTACCAACTAAACTAAACCCTGGAGGAAAAAGCGCTCTTGCAGCACACATATGGATAAATATAGATATAGACGGATTAATGTAATACACACCAATATATGTCTTCATATCTATCGAGCGTAAATTATGAGATAAGTATATAGATCGGTCTATAATTTAAAGCTTAAATAAACCAGTTCGAGGTGATCAGAACCCGTAGCTGCATTAAATTAGCATTCAACCAGTTCGTGTTGTTTAACATTACTTTATTTTATTTTTTATTTTATTTAATACTCAGTATGTAATGGCATGGTGTCTAAGCAGGGCAATGATCCGCCATACAACCGAGCCACAGAGAAGACTATGAAATAAAAGACACAATACATGTATAACATTTAACACGAGAGAATAGAGCCTCCACTGGATGATATCATCGGACTAACGGTACGTCCGAGTTACCGACTAGCCGGCAGCCCACGAGCCCCGTGACCACTCCGTAATATAAATAAATACTGTGCCTAATGATCAGTGATCGACCTTTACCCACGAGAACCTCGTACTCGACCTTGCCATACATCCCGGCGAAATTAAATGTGCCAACTCATTTAGGTCAGGAATGCTCATTCCTTTTTTTTATATTAATATAATTTGGTGTTGCAGATCATCTCCTGACGTCAGATCCTCCGGGGGACCAGGTATTCTTGGCGTCTTTCCGAGTAGTAGACGGTGACTCCTTCACAATAGACCTCGCTGACCCATCGACTGAGGCCTTCCGGATCAGAGCTAGGGAGTATCGTGATAGAATTAATCTTGCTTTCCGTAGGAGCAATCTCAGAATTTCCTTCATCGCTTCTGAAGTTCTTGCGCTCGATGGGTAAGTAGTACCATGACCTACAAATCCACTTCCTTGTTTATATTATTATTCTCTGTTCAGTTAATCACTGAGGAATATCCTTATATTATTTTTATTCATCATTCATCTAAAAGTTAAATAATTTTTAGAATATCGACGTTCTAATTAGCAAATTTTAGAGAATCTTCCATTTGAACGAAAAAAACAATTCGTTTAAAATTTATTATCAGATTATCACTTTAAAAAACTATTTAATATCGTTAATATCTAATAAAGGTATTAATATAATATTTTGGTTTGAATCACTCAAATAATTTATAATTGGACTATTACTATACCTCAAAATGTTAAAAAATCACTCTCTAAAAAATAAGAAGAGACAAATTGATAATTAGACCGTCGATATGAATTATTAATTGTTTATTAGCAGTATTTTGAGATTAAAAATATTATGCATTGTATTTTTTATAAGATAGTACTTTAATAGTTGATTAAGTAAAAAATAAAGTTAGCATATAAATATGGTTTTAGAATCGGAGTTTCTTTTTTTGTTAATTTTTAAAACGGAAGATGGACATTTTTTTTAAGATAAAAAATTATATTTCTTAAAAATAATTTTATATCTCATTGTAATTTAAATTTATAGCTTTCTCTACACTATAATGTTATTGTCGCTAGAGTTTCCTGAAAAACTAAAAAAATTTGTACTTTCAGTGTATCTTTTCCGATTTTCAGTTTTTCTTTACCTATATTGTGGTTTATTTTCTTATTATGATTCTTTTAGTAAATTTTATAGAAATAAATCAGTCAAATAGATCAGAAATAACAGCAATTTAAAATTTTTAAAAATTACATTACTATCACACTTTCATTAATTTTTTATTTTTTTTTTTTTGTATAACTTCTAAACGCAATTGTCAAATTTCTATAAAATTCACCGAAAGAATATTAAATAAGCTTTAATTTCCATACTTAATTTTATTATCTAGTCAAAATATTACTCATCTCTCTACCTCTTTGATAAAATGTCACTATTACGTTTGTTCTAAAAATTCTGTAAGCTGTTGGTTATTACTTTGAAAAATCTTTTTTTATTTCAGTTGCCGATTGGCCTTTTTGGATTATTTAAAATTCATCAAAATTTTTTTAATGATTTTTTAAAGAATAATTTAAAAAATGATAATTTCTATAATTTATCAGAGTTACTTACGATTCATTAAAAATTATACATGATTTTATATTATATTTCTTTATTTTCTTTTTTACAAAATACTTGAACGCTTTAGTAACTTTAAAAATTTTATTGGCAGAGTGGAAAACAGTGACCTGGTGGTACACTTAGAATTACGCTTCGACCCGCGTTACCAGACGTTAAAAGTTCCAGACATAGTTCAGGTTTTGTCCAAAGAGATAAATTCAACAACAGCCCGGTACTTGGTGAATTTAACTATCGACCCAAAGAGTTTAGAAGTCCAAGAAAACCTCGCGGCTCTCAATGCTCAAGTGGCTATATCAACGACAGTCACAACTCCTATGACAACGACAGCAACCCCGCCACCCAGGAGTTGCAGTCCTTTGGAACTCACTTACTGCAAGCATCTTTCATACAACATCACTTCTTATCCGAATATCTTCGGGCATCAATCTCTTGTCGAAGTGGAAGAAGACGTGATTGCCTTTAGGTTTCAAATTTTGTTTTTCGTAAAATTTTATTTATAATAGGTATTATTTATTTTATTACTTTGTTCTAAAATGTTAATTCTTCAATAGGGAACTCGTTGACGCCGAGTGCTACAGACTGGCTTACGATTTTGTGTGTCAAGTATTGCAGCCAGCGTGTGTGGAAGGAACACCCGAGGCGACTATTAAACTTCCCTGTCGAAGTTTTTGCCGGGAATTTTGGTCTGGATGTGGTAATCGATTGCCAGATAGGATTAAGAACGCTCTAGATTGCTCAAACTTCCCGGAATACGCGGATGAAGGAAGTTGCAAGCCCAAGCCAGGTATATCTATTTAAATGGTCAAAAATAACTGTTGATTTATAAATATATTGTTTATTTATTTATTTATTATCTAAATAAAAATCAAGTGCTGTTCGTATTTAAGCGTATTAATTAAAAACAGTTGGACCGATTTGGGTATTTTTTTTCAAGGCTTGTAATTATTATGTTAAATTTTTCCTGATTTGTTATGAAAAATTATAATAATTAATCAATAATATTAATATGTGTAAAAAATTGAAAAAGTTGCCTGGAAAATTAATAAATTTTGGGAAAAAGTAAAAATTATTTTCTACGGGATTTGTATATAAATTTAAGGCCATTAAATATATGCAGGTTCTTATCCATTTTTCAATACAAATTTATGAAACTCTCCTTTTTCTTAAATAAAATATGATTAATTTTTATTTACCTTTATCGTTGTATTAAATAATTTATATATTGTCCAAGAAAAAGGAGAATTTCGTCAATTTGACTTAAGACCATTATTCATGATTCAGAAGACGTGTATAAATAATCTTTTATTTGTTTTGTTTGTTATCGCGCTTAAAACATTAAAAAAAAAAAAATTTTAATTCACGAAGAAAAGTCGGACAAATTCTGACAAAATAATATTTTTTTAAGTTTATTTTCAATTGAAAAAAAAAAATCCCAATAATTTTGAAAAGAAAATCTAGAACAACAATTTTTTGTAAGAATCCGTTCCCATAAAAATTTAAATACAATGACAATTACTTAGACTTTTATTTCTTTGCGATACTTAATTTCGTGATTATCAGGTGACAAAAGGTCTAGTGCAATGTCCAACAATGCAATTATCTAATTGTACCAAAAAATTTTTTTTAATTCAAAAAGTACATTTGTCGGATCAACTAGTTGTTTGATAAATTGTATAAAAAATAGTAATTTGTAAGAAAAAAATTATTTTAGTTAGAAAAATTAAAAAAAAAAAAAAAAAGTGATCTGTCTGCACTCAAATTTACTTTCCTTTGATGTTTTAAAAATCATTAAAATAACACCGCTCGAAATGTTAACGAGCTACAAAAAATATAAAGTTACTTTTTCATCAAATTAATGACAGTAATTATTATTAAAGGTTGCGTGAGAGATTTGCAGAATAAAGCGTTGTCACCTCGGATCTGTGATGGGATAGTCGACTGCCCAGATTTATCTGATGAAAAAAACTGCGCGTACTGCCAGGAAGATCACATGCATTGCGGAATCGGAAGAACCTGTATTCCGACTTCCAAGAGATGTGACGGCAAAGCTGACTGCCCTAATGGATTAGATGAAAAAGATTGCTGTAATTATTATTTATTGTAAAAAAAAAAAAAAAAAAAACAATTTTTAAATATTTACTAAAAATGATTAATATTTTTTCAGTATTTTTGGCGCAAAGCGTCAGCTCGGTTAAAAACCAGCCAATAGACACACCTCTGTCTGTGAAATACACCCACGAAGGCTATGTGATATTCAACGAAAAAGGAACTGTTGGAAAACTTTGTATCGAAAATCTCAATGCAACTCTTCCCCAAACGGAAATGGATACAGTACTTCAAACAGCAGCAGCTTCTTTGTGCACTCTTTTGACTTATAATGGAATGAGCTCGGTTGAAATGAGGATTGACGACGAGGAAGACGTCGAATATGTGCACATGGAGGATCCTTTGGCTTCTGAAATATCTTTCGTACGAGCCCCTTGTCCAAGTAAACAAGTTATGTACGTTCGTTGTGCAGAACTAGGTACTTATTTTTGTATTTTATCTTTTATCATTAATTTATTAAAATTAACATTTGGTATTTTTTATGATTTTAAATAATTTATTTTAGAATGTGGAATACAAGCTCTGAAAACTAAAACGGGCACCAAAGTACTCAATAAAATAGCAGAACCCGGAGACTGGCCGTGGCATGTCGCGCTATTCAAAGAAGACACTCACGTTTGTGATGCTACGCTTGTATCTTCAAACTGGCTGTTAACCACCGCGTCTTGCTTCCAAGGACAACCTAAGGCCGAATGGTCTGCAAGGCTGGGCACCGTTCGACTGTCCAGTACGTCGCCCTGGCAGCAGGAGAGAAGAATAGTCGGGATGGTAAAATCGCCCGTGGAAGGCAGCACGATTGTTCTTTTAAAATTAGACAAACCTGTGATCGTGTATTCAGACCTTGTACGGCCTATTTGCCTGCCGTCCAGCCAGGAATTTATGCAACTCAACACTTCGCACTGCAACACGCTGGGATGGGCGAGAAATCGTGAGTTTATTTATTTGAATTTATTTCCAATTAATTAAAAAGAAAATTTCTTCAGCCAAAAAAATTAAAAATTAAAATAGTCTAGGTCAAAATAAATATTTTTTTAATTCTAGAAAAATTTTTTCTTAAAAATTTATTTTTTTGGCCATGCTTGTTTTTAATTCTGCTTTCAATGTCGTGAAAGGAAAAAATGAAGATTTCGATAGCTTTTATGCCTTTAAAAGTTGGAAAAAATTTTGATTCATGTTTTTGGATAAAATTTCTATTTTATCTTTTTTTGATATATTTTTTTTTGAAAAGTATATAAAAAAAAACGAACAATTAAAAAAAAAAAAGTTGAATATCAAAATTTGTTAATAATTGTGATAATAAACTTTTTTTTTAATTGTTCATTTTTTTATGTTTCTTTCAAAAAAAAATATAACAATAAAATCAAATGGAAATTTCGTTGAAAAAAATGAAAATGAAAATGGTTGACCCCACTTGTAAATATTTACCATTTTTTTTTTTAATAACAAATAATGAATTATTAATAAGAAAGTAAATAAAATAATTATGTTTTAAATTATTTAGGAGATTTACTTCAGCGTGTTCAACTTAAATACAGTGCGATGGAAAAATGCGAAAATATCAGCATCGCTTCTGTAAATGGAATATGTACGGACGCTGTTTACTCAACAGATGACTGCAATGTAAGTTTTTGTTTATTATTCTGTGGATTTCTTGATGAATTTAGAAAATTAAATGAAGAAATATTTATTTTAGGAAGAAGAACTAGCAGGTACTCCAATGATTTGTCTGCTACCTGACGAACGGAGATGGGCTTTAGCTGGAGTCAGTAGTTGGAGAATTGCCTGCTCGAAGGCTGCGATCGAGAGACCTAGACTCTACGACAAAGTTTCTTCAAATATCGCATGGATAAAGTCAACGATCGCTTAACTCAGTGTCTTAAAAATTATAAATATAATTAAAACCATTATACCAATTATTTGCTATTTAAATTAGCTATAAGTCTGACTGACGATATGTAAATAATGTTATTCCATCATCCAGATGCCAGATATTTTATTTATTAGTTATTGTTTTATATTAGCTATTATGACTATAATAGACAAATTGTGTGTAATTAATTTAATCATTTTATAAGCGATTATCCAAGACATGGAAATATGTAAAAACGTAAAACGAGATTTATTTTTAAATCCGTATTAAATATTTTGGAATTTTAATAAAAATTATAAAGTTATTAATAAAAAATATAGAGGGTAATTTAATCTCCAAGAAGCTCACTATCATGTCAGTAGAATTCAAGCGTAGATGGTTATATCATCGTCTATCTTTGATCGGTCATATCTTACAACTAAATTAATCAATTCAAATGTTGTCTTTTTTTAATTAAAACTTTAGACTGTAGCTCTAAAAAAATTCGCGTGTATAGATAATAAAGCTAAATAATTTTGAAATTACAACTCTCACTTAGTGTTTATCATTTTTAGTCTTATGATAATAATATTTTTTTATTGCCTACATAATAAACTACGCTGCCCAATTTCAAAACACAGTAACTAACATTTAGAAATTTTTTTTAATTTTTCTTATTACAAAAAAGTTTGTCTGCTAAATTGATGAAAAATTTGATTTATGAATAGAAAATACTTGAATATAAATAAAGGTCTAAAAGTTATAAAAAATGGAACAATATTAAAAAAAATTTTTGCAGTTACTGTGTTTTAAAATTGGGCAGCCGTCTAGTTCAGTTAGTTTTAAGATCTCATAATAATTCCTATGGGAAATCTCTAGGGAAAGTTGTACACTTTTTTTCCACCCAGATAAATAATAAGTCCCGTTAGCATTATTATTTAATAGGAGTAAAAAAAAACTCTTCATTCAGAGTACGTTATTTGATATTAATAACCCAAGATTGTTTTTTTAAATCAAGTGGTTTTGCTACAAACTAAAGACAAGTTATTCCAAGCACTGCATGTCGAACTGTTGAAATTAATATAACAAGCGCAGTGGGGGTCAGTATACTGATTCAGCTGGTGTAGTCAACGCGCTTATCCGATACTAGTGAAATTGTAGTACGCAAGTGCGCTATCATTGATTCTCATATTTTATTAACTAAAATAAATCCTTCTATTAGTGGCTTTTTAATTTAATATTCTCATGGAAGCTAAAGTAAGTTCAATCAACCCTGGCTATGAATAAATTACAATAAATTCAATACAAATTTATTTTATTTTAATTTTCTAGGATCAAAAATCAGGTCTCGCTTTTATTGATCTGAAATCTAATGATCCAGTCAATCTATATGAAGACTGGCACCAAGAGGCGATTAAGTACATGAAAGGTTCAACAAGCATCACTTGTCTTGCAACTGTCTCCGGGTGAGTTCATTATCTTGTCTATTATTTTTGATTTTTTATTTTTACTTTATAATTTTTTTATTCCAGCGAAACTCCACGAGCGCGACATGTGTTGCTGAGGGGATACGGCAAAGATGGCTTTGAATTTTTCACCGACAGCAGAGGAAGAAAATCTCAGGAACTTGTAAATATATGATCATATAAAATTTTATTAACTTAAATAATATTTTTCAAAGCAAAGGAATAATTAAAGATTTTACTCAGAGCGAAAATAGCCAGGCCGCGATGTGCATTTACTGGATGTACGAGAACGATAAAAGTGAGCGCGTTTCGAGGCAGGTAACGTTGTAATCAGCAATACTGTTTTTTTTTTTTCATTTTTTTATCTTCGTTTTATTACTTTTTGCTCAAGGTACGGCTGGAAGGTCGAGTAGAATTACTACCGCGGGAGAGAGTTAGAGAAGTTTATGAGTTAGAGCCGCTTCACTGTAAAATTCGCGCTCACTTGTGTCATCAGGATGTTAAGGTGGATTGGACCCAGATGAAGGGACATCACGATGAATTATTGCGTCAAGCTGAATCAGATCCCGAGAGTTTAGTCATGCCTGAACATTTGTTAGTCACAATAAATCGTTTTTCGCAAACAAGTTCATTTAATTACTAATTATTAATAGCAATATTTTTTTATTTTAGTGTCGGCTACAAGCTAATTCCCACATGGTTTGATTTTTATTTCTCGAAAGATAATTTCATTGCTGATCGGATGGAATTCACCAATGAAGATGGAGTTTGGAAGAACATGAGAATCGCCGCATGATTTTCTTATTATTTTTTAAATGTAAAATAAATTGTGATTCATTTTTAAATAAATCTGTGGGTAAATTTTTATGGCTTTAGAAATTTATTAGTTTTTTATAAAATTAAATTTGTCACGCATCTGATTATTTTTATGATTTTGTTTTAACAAATAAATTATTATAAAAAATTTTTAAATCAATTTTAGAGTGTAAAAAAAAATTATTTTCATGTGGTATCAATTTTATTTTAGAAAATTTTTATTTTTGATACAGAATATAATAAAAAATGTAAAAATATAAAAAAATTATCACATCACACCTATGAATAAGTTTCCATTATATAGTTACTTAATTGAATAACATGTCATCAGTGAAAACAATAAGGGATAAAATTAACTAATACATTACTAAATATCAACATTAAAAGTTTTGAATTTTTATTAATCTTAAATTTATTTTTGTAAATCTACTATGGAGAAAAATAAAATTTTTTAACATGTCTATGATTAAATTTTTCGATTTTTTTTTTTTCTAATAATTTATTAAAAACTTGTAAATAAAATTTCATATAAGAAAATTAATTAAATAAAAATAGAAATTAATTTTCTTGAAGAAATTTGTAATTCAATAATTTAAATATTAAAAAAAAAAAAATCAAAAAAAGAAAAAACCGTTCTAGGAAAATTTTCAAATTTTTTAAGAATAATGAATTTTAAATTTATTTGAAAATTAAAAGAAATTAATTTCTGCTAATTTATATCACTAAAAATTTATTTTTTTTCTAAAACTGAAATTTAAAAATTCCCGCGTTTTGTTTGCCAAGGTTAGCATAGAGGGCAGTATTTACGCGTATGTGTAGAAAGTGTAGAATAGCAAGTAGAAGGGGAGATACACCGGTTTCCACTTAAAACCCTACGTTTTAACTGAAAAAGCATGTTTTTAAATCTCGCCATAACACAGTTAACACAGTTCAACAATCAGCAATAATTTCACGAGTTTACAAATACGAGTAAACAATGCCGTCAGTGTCGCAAGTAATTTCAATAGACGGTGAACACAATTGTTTTTTACTTCTAGAAGATGGAACTTTTTTTCCCGGCAGGAGTTTTGGAGCACACGTGCCTGTTGATGGCGAAGTTGGTGAGTATAACAATTAAATTGCGTACTAAACACGTGGCTGTAATTAATAGTGATTATTACTACTTGTTGACTTAATTGCACTGCTTGCTTTATTACTTGTCAACAATTTTTGATGAATTTGTATTTATGGATTTTATTTTCATTAGGCTGATAAGCCGAGGATCTTATCAAGATATACATGGTGATCTGCAAGTGTGATACAATTTTTAACGTAAATAACAGTCACGTAGAGACCAGAAGGTCATTTTTATCTTTCTAGACTCATATGAAAATATTTTCCTTTATAAGCTGAAGATATTGTTTTTCATAAATCTTCTTTTATCAAAACTGCAATTAAGCGAATGATCATCATATTTTTATACAAACAAAAATTTTAACACCCAAGCAATTTATGAATATAAAAATAATTATTATTTTCATATGATACTGAATTTAACAGACCTAACAATTTTTTATAATAATTAAATTATGATGAAAATGAATTCCACATGCAAAAATTAAAAAAAAAAAATTAAATTGTGAATTTTTTTTAATATTTTTTTTTATAATTGATTTATTATAAAAATTTCAAAAAATTGTCAGATGTCTGCTAATTTTAGTATTATTATTTTCATATAATATCAAAAATGAAATTTTAGAAAATGTATCCTTGTGTAAAACTATTGCAAATTTCGCAATATATCAATTCATTGAAAAATTGAGAGGTTCAATAAAAATATCAAAAATCTTAGACATTTTAAAATCATAGATTGGAAAATATAAAAAAAAATTTTATTCATAAATAATTTTAAATCAAAACTGCAATTACGCGCAATTAAGCAAATTATCATCATATTTTTATCCACACAAAAAGTTTTAACACCAAGTAAATTATGAATTTATAAATAAATATTATTTTCTTATAATATCAAACATAAAATTTTAGATAATTTATTTTTGAGCAAAACTATTTCAAATTTCGTAATATGTTTATCTTTTGAAAAGTTTAATTAAGAGATTCAATAAATTTATTTAAAATTATACATAAAAAATTGTTTGACTGCGTAGTATCATATTTAGTTAAAATTTCTAAAGCCAAATATTTTTTTCAGTATTTCAAACTGGAATGGTTGGATACCCCGAATCATTGACAGATCCATCATACCACGCACAAATATTAGTATTGACTTATCCGCTGATTGGTAATTACGGAGTGCCAGGAGACGAAAAAGACGAGCATGGGCTTCCTTAGTAAGTAATTAGATCAATAATTTCATTGGCCTTAATTGGTCAAAATAAGTAGTCATTTAATGGTTTTATTTATAGTTGGTTTGAGTCGAACAAAATATGGGCAGCGGGGCTTATCGTCGGAGAAATTTGTAACACTCCAAGTCATTGGCGTCAGACTAAAACTCTGTCCCAGTGGATGGTGGAGCAGAATATTCCGGGAATCAGTGACATAGACACCCGAGCATTGACCAAAGTTATCCGCGAGAAGGGCAGTATTTTAGGAAAAATAGTCCACGCGCAGCCACCGATGAGCGTCACGGAAATCCCGTCAATATCAAACCCCAATGACAGGAACCTCGTATCCGAGGTGTCATGCAAATCTCCGATAACTTTCAACCCTCAAGGTACTCCCAAGATCTGCGTCGTCGACTGCGGGCTCAAGTTTAACCAGATTCGATGCTTTCTCAATCGAGGAGCTCGCGTTGATGTCGTACCATGGGATTACGATCTGTCGAAGGTAACTTTTGACGGATTATTCCTCAGCAACGGACCCGGCGACCCCGCAGTGTGTCAAGCGACCATTGCCAATATTCGCAAAGTATTAGGCAAAAAAATTCCCATTTTCGGCATCTGTATGGGTCATCAATTGTTGTCCCTGGCTGCTGGCTGCAAAAGCTACAAAATGACCTACGGAAACCGAGGACACAACCAGCCGGCTCTTCACCTTGCAACCGGACGTTGCTACATGACCTCGCAAAACCACGGATTCGCCATCGACGGAAAAGAACTGCCCGAGGGATGGGAACCGCTTTTCACCAACGCCAACGACGACAGCAACGAAGGAATTGTCCACACAAGTTTGCCGTATTTTTCAGTTCAATTTCATCCTGAACACACTGCTGGACCCCAAGATCTCGAGTGTCTGTTTGACGTCTTCCTCGAGGCCACAAGGTTCCAAATGAAAAACAGCTCTGCGGAGTTTAATGTCAAAGATAAATTAACAGAGAAGCTCGTCTACAAGCCAGCCAGCGAAGAAGCACACACCAGACCGAAGAAAGTATTGATTCTAGGCTCTGGAGGTCTCAGCATCGGGCAAGCCGGAGAATTTGATTACTCTGGCTCCCAGGCTATCAAAGCACTGCGCGAAGAGTCTATACAAACACTTTTAATTAATCCGAACATTGCAACCGTACAAACATCCAAGGGAATGGCTGACAAAGTTTATTTCTTGCCAATTACTCCGGAGTATGTTGAACAAGTAATAAGATCCGAGAGACCCGACGGTGTATTGCTGACTTTCGGTGGGCAAACTGCCTTGAACTGCGGTGTTGAGCTTGAAAAGTCTGGAGTATTCAAAAATTACGGTGTTAAAATTCTTGGAACACCTATTCAGTCCGTTATCGATACAGAGGACCGTAAAATATTCAGCGAGAAAATAAACGCCATTCAGGAACGAGTCGCTCCCAGTGCTGCTGTTTATTCTATTCAGGAAGCTCTGGAGGCTGCTGAGAAACTGGGCTATCCAGTAATGGCTCGCGCTGCTTTCTCCCTCGGAGGTCTTGGTTCTGGATTTGCCAATAATAAAGATGAGCTACGAGTTCTCGCTCAACAGGCTCTGGCTCACTCCAGTCAGTTAATCATTGACAAGTCTCTGAAAGGATGGAAGGAAGTCGAGTATGAAGTTGTAAGAGATGCTTATGACAACTGTATCACAGTTTGCAATATGGAGAACGTTGATCCTTTAGGTATTTATTTATTTTTTTATTTATGTTAATTTCTAATTGTACATTTTATTTATAGGTATTCACACCGGTGAGTCCATTGTCGTAGCGCCGAGTCAAACTCTGTCGAACCGAGAGTACAACATGCTGAGAACTGTCGCGATAAAAGTAATCCGACACTTTGGAATTGTGGGTGAATGCAACATCCAGTACGCACTCAATCCTTTTTCTGAAGAGCACTACATCATTGAAGTAAACGCAAGATTGTCTAGAAGTTCCGCTTTAGCTAGCAAAGCCACTGGGTACCCGCTCGCTTATGTTGCCGCTAAATTATCTCTAGGAATTCCCTTGCCAGAGATAAAAAACTCAGTCACCAGCAAAACTACCGCTTGCTTTGAGCCCAGCTTGGATTATTGCGTCGTGAAAATTCCACGATGGGACTTGAATAAATTTCAGCGAGTCAGCACAAAAATTGGAAGCTCCATGAAAAGTGTAGGCGAGGTAATGGCAATCGGTCGCAAGTTTGAAGAAGCTTTCCAGAAGGCTCTTCGTATGGTAGACGAAAACGTCACCGGATTCGATCCCTACATCAGATCGCTAAATGACGACGAGCTGGAAAAACCGACTGACAAACGAATGTTCGTACTAGCAGCCTCCATAAAAGCTGGATACTCTATTGACCGGCTCTACGAGTTGACGAAAATTGACCGCTGGTTCCTCACAAAAATGAAGAACATTATTACCTGCTACGAATTGCTCGAAGGACTCGATCAAGGTATGATGTCTCACGCAGTTTTGTTAGGAGCTAAACAAATAGGCTTTTCTGACAAACAAATCGCTGCTGCTATCAAGAGTACGGAGCTGGTGGTTCGCAAACAGAGAAAAGAGAGTAACATTCGCCCGTTTGTCAAACAAATAGACACTGTGGCTGCTGAATGGCCCGCGACGACTAATTACTTGTACCTGACTTACAATGGGTCAATTCACGACGTAGATTTCCCAACCGGGTACACTATGGTGATTGGTTCTGGAGTTTACCGAATTGGAAGCTCTGTAGAGTTTGACTGGTGTGCTGTGAGCTGTCTCCAGGAGCTCAGGAACCTAGGACGTAAGACAATCATGGTGAACTACAATCCAGAAACCGTGAGTACAGATTACGACATGTCAGACCGGCTTTACTTTGAAGAAATATCATTTGAAGTTGTTATGGACATTTACGACCACGAGAATCCGGAAGGAGTAATTTTGTCGATGGGAGGCCAGCTCCCGAATAATATTGCGATGGATTTGCACCGTCAACAGGCGCGAATTTTAGGTACGTCTCCGGAGTCAGTAGACGGAGCGGAAAATCGATTCAAATTCTCGCGAATGCTCGATCGCATTGGAATTTCGCAGCCCCGTTGGAAAGAATTGACCAACTTGCAGTCGGCCATTGACTTCTGCGAGGAAGTGGGGTATCCTTGTCTCGTTAGACCCTCGTACGTGCTAAGTGGGGCGGCTATGAATGTAGCTCATTCGCACCAAGACCTCGAATCGTACTTGAAAAATGCGAGCGATGTCAGCAAAGAACATCCGGTTGTCATTTCTAAATTTATACTCGAAGCTAAAGAAATAGACGTCGATGCGGTTGCTTACGAAGGAGTTATTCTCTGCATGGCTGTGTCAGAGCACGTCGAGAATGCTGGCGTGCACTCCGGAGACGCCACACTGGTTACGCCGCCACAGGATATAAATGCCGAGACGCTGGCGAAAATTAAAAAAATTTCCCGAGCTGTCGCGGGTTCTCTTGAAGTCACTGGTCCCTTTAATATGCAGCTTATTGCTAAAGACAACGAGCTCAAAGTTATTGAATGTAATGTTAGAGTATCTAGGTCGTTCCCGTTCGTTTCCAAAACTCTGGATCACAATTTCGTCGCCATGGCCACGCGTTTGATCGTCGGAGAAACTGTTGATCCGGTTGATGTACTGGCAGGCTGCGGAAAAGTCGGAGTTAAGGTACCACAGTTTTCTTTTTCGCGTCTAGCGGGAGCAGATGTTACTTTGGGTGTTGAGATGGCGTCGACTGGAGAAGTTGCTTGCTTTGGAGACAACAGGTACGAGGCTTATTTGAAGGGAATGATGAGTACTGGGTTCCATATACCGGAGAAAGGAATTCTTTTATCTATTGGCAGTTTTAAGGTAACTATTTTTAATTATACTTAAAAATTTTTTTTAGTATTTATTTATTAAAAATAATTTTTTTTTTTTTTTTAGCACAAAATGGAATTACTTCCATCAATTCGTAGTCTACATAAAATGGGATACAAATTATACGCTAGTATGGGAACAGCCGATTTTTACACTGAACATGGAGTTGATGTGAGTAAATAAATAAATATATTTAATTTAATTTAATATATAATTATAAAATATTATTTATACAGTAAGTATACTATTATAGTTTTTTTATTTTTAATTAAAATTAAATATACGTCGTTTCCTTTTTCGAGCTTTTGTCATCATCTTCCAACGAAATGATTCTCGAATTTTCTTTTTTCGTTGAATTCTTTATCGGCTGAAGCTCAACTGCTTCAATAGACGAAGCCGAGGATGACTCTACCTCGTGAACCACCGCCATGGTGACACACTTCCGATGAACTGAAGGAGTATCGAGTTTATAGGGACCCTTATTACTATTTTCAGCTTTAATTGGGGCTAAATTGACAATTGTATGAGATTCAACTGGAGGCTGAAATCGCTGATTGAGCGAGGCCGAGAAAATTGGATGATCAGAATTACGCACCGGAGTCGCCGGAGGATCGCTCTGGGACTTATTGTTTGCCGTGCGACGTTTCAGAGCATGCAATTTGTCCAAGTATGCTTTTGCGTCGTCTTTGTAGTTGTCGTACTTAGATAAAATCACACAGAGTCGCTCCGAGTGCTCAATGTACACCGTTTTTTGCGAATACGATTTATACTTGTGACAACACTCGGCAATTTTTATAAAATGTCTTATAAATAAGTCCAGCAGTAAACAAAGCCTATGCGATTGAATTTCTTCACATTTTACCTAAAAAGTTAATAAAATGATTAATTTTTCGAATTTAGTATTAAAAAATTGACAACTTACCGTAATTTCTAAAATAAGATCATAAGAAGTTTTTGCGTCAATAAGATTTTTACTGGTAACAGTTTTTCTAACAAAACGTTGATTTTTTTCTTTTTTGGCGCTGTCCCAAAATCCTCCGGTAGGCTCATAAATTTGTTCCAGCGTCTCAGCGCTCTTCGATTGAGCCTTAATTGTTCTGCTTGGATACAAATGCGGGTTAACAAGCATCAGAATATCGTCAGTTAGTATCCTGAGCAGCGTCGCGTAGTCTAGCTTTGGAAAAAAACTCCTGCTGTGTTTAATATTTTGCATCGCGTGAATAAAAAACATCACCGGGTTCTCCAAAATTCTTTTCAGCTGTTTCTGGGTTCTAAGCAGATATTTCTTAGCCGGAAATAGATTCTTATCTTTAATAAAGTAGTCCGGCATTACAGGATCATCCTGGCTAATAGAATCGTAGAGTTTCCCCAAGAAGGTCATCAAGCACTCGCCCATGCGATTGTCCATCCACTTGGAAGGTGTATCCAGCTCTTCAATCATCCAAAACATATGATGTCTCATATGATTCGCCGTCAGGCCCACAAACGAGTCTATCGGACGGATAAAAGTCTTCTGGAGCACCAGGGCCATGAAATATACCCGGACTTGCGAATAAGTCATGCAAGTCTCTAGATACCGTTCTGCTGCGGGAAAAGTAAGTTCCCACTCCAGATTTTTCGCGTCGTTATTTCCATTTTGCTCCGTGTAGCCCTCGGGAATGATGTAGCAGCCAATTTCCTTTATTTTTTCAATTACGTCGTAGTCAGGCCACGTGGTCCGCGGTCGGTCCAGCCATTCGTCCGCGATTTCTGGCCAGGGTGACCAGATACAAGGTATAATAGCAAACTGGTCATCTTTCGTTCCAATAATCTGCTCCAGCGGTTCTATTTTATCTCGATAAATTATTGCTCCCAGTGGTCCTTCATCTTCATCTGCGTCAAACCCCATTAAATCAGACAACCCGTTGGTAAAAAATTGATAAAAATGATCCATGAACTTGGAACTGTTCAAGTACCAGACATCATACTTCCGACTGTGGATAATCCCTCTTATCTTCTTGTCCTTACTGTTAAGATTATTTAGCACTCGCGGTTTCCGTGGATCGTAAATTTGAAAACACTCTCGAGGTATTTCTGAGCTTGACACTGGTCCCTCTGAATCAGCAACTGGGTCTCCGACGGTAGAAACTGCATAACTGTCACTGTCGCTGTCAATCGCGTAATTACTGGACTTGTAACCAGAACTGGTGCTTTCTGCAGAACTAGTTCCATTGAAGACTTTAGCTCTTATCTGCCTGACTCTTCCGCCTCCTCGCCCATTAATTTGCTTTCTCTGCTGCTCCTTTTTAACTTTTCCGACATTTGGATTTAAATTGTCCCTCTCATCGTAGACACTATCTTCGTCATTGAGATTCAAAGACGAAGCGGTTAAGTTAGAGCTTCCGCTTCCGTCAGATTTCTTATCGCGATTCACAAACAGCGAGCTGTTATCTTTACTTGCTTTACTACCATTGTAATAACTATCACCGTCACTGTACAGCACATTAACACTCTGTCGAGTTTTCCTCCTGGGATTAACTTCCAGCCGCTGCAGCAACGCATATCCTGGATTAAAAGCAATAAATATTTTATTTTTATCTAAAAAATTTTCTTATCTACTGAGTGCTTTTAGATACTTCCTGGGATTAATAATTCTAACTCACCTTTATGTTTGCTCGCCTTCAACTGCATACTGTAAGTTACCGTCTCGTTTACGCAGCAGTAAGGAGACGCGACACTCTGCTCCGAGACCTCGATGTTATCGTGGACGACGTAGACCCTGATCGGCTGGAGACGCTCCACCGAGGGTATCATCGTCGGCCCGATATAAGTGAAGTCGACTCGCCGCGCCAAGTGCTCTTGAAGCACATCCGGAACGAGAACGTGCTTTTGCGAAGGCAAACAAGCGTTAAATTCTTCCTCCAAAGGCGAACTCAGAGTTTGTCTGATACTCGCTATTTCTCTGACAAAGAAATAAATTTTATTGATAACTGATATGAAAATTTATCAAGTCACTGATTATCGTTGAAGAAAAATTAGAAATTCATTTGGTAAATATTTACAAGTGGGGTCAATCATTTTAATTTTAATTTTTTTTTTTTTATTTTATTGATGTTTTTTTTTTTTTTTGAAAAATACATAAAATAATAAACAATTAAAAAAAAAATTGATTATCACAATTTTAACAATACCTATTCAACTTTTTTTTTTTTAATTGTTCGTTTTTTTTATGTACATTTCAAAAAAAAAATTTATCAAAAACATAAAAAAAAACATAAAATAGAAATTTTATCCATAAACATGAGAGTCAATATTTTTTGCAATTTTTGAAGGCAAAAAAGCTATCGAAATCTTTATTTTCACCTAGTTTTGATCCAAAATGTAAATGGGTTGACCCAACTTGTAAATAATAAATTTTTGGATGTCTGTTAAACTCAGCATTATTGTAAATAATTAATGAAAATTAATTTAGCAGATATTTGATAAGGTAAAAGTCCCTATTATGAGACACTTTTCAAGGTAGGTTGAACATTCCTGCGAATAATTAATCCATTTAAGAAAAAAATACACTTTTAATCGCATTATACGATAATTTGATGATCATTAAATCAATATTCATATTGTTTTTATAGTTTTTTTGGTCAAAAATTAATTAAATTATGGTTTTTTTGGGGAACCTACATGACCCTATTTATGAGAGACACTTTAAAGTCACATGTCCTCAGTGTCTCAAACCACAGGACCCTATTTTTGAGACAGTTAAAAAATCAGCAAAGTTGATCAAATTTTATATATTTATCAATTTTAGACAATCGTATTTACAAAAGAAGGAATTACTTTTATTTTTAATTAACTTATAAAAAATTTTTTATCAGTTAAACAATTAATCAACGCAAATTATTGAATTAAATCTATTGTTCTTTCTTGATTTTTTTTGTCATTCCTTGATTTGAGCCATTAATTTTTTTTTCTTCTTGTAATATTTTTTTATTGTTAAATTTTTCTTCTTTCATGTTTTTTCTGGATCTAAATTTTTTTTTATAAGTTCTGAAAAAAAGTCACATTAAGTTAAATTTATTGAACATGAATGTGAGGTTGACATTTACATACCTAATTGATGAACTTTGTTGTTTATAAGATTTGTAGAATTAATATTTGTGAGCTCTGTTATAATCTCTCTGGGTTTTGCAGATATAAATATGTATCATCAGTAGAGATAGTTTGATCAATTAGTTTGTCTTCACTGAAGTCTTTAGAAGTGCACTGTATTACGTTATTGCTATCAATTGATGATTCTTGAAGACTAACTTGATTAGATTCATATGTAACCGTAAAAAATTGTTCATCATTAATTAAATTATTTTGTTCACAGTTTATCACATTAAAATGATTGTCTAAGACAGTAACGGATTGTTATACGTCTTCAATAATTCAGTTTTTGTCACATGTGACCCTATTACTGCTCTGTACAACACCCACTGAACAATAACATCCTCTTCTTTTAAAGATAACACTGTCACTGGCCCAGTTCTAATTTTTGCCTTCTTAGGACTAATACTTTTTCATTTAGCAAGGGTAACAATCGGTACTCCATAAACAGCAGCTGCTTTTCTCAAGGACAACTCTGTGTCTTCCATTGCTTTTAGAGCTTTTTTTATATTTCACGAATTATAATTACTTAATCCTTTTAATTTTTTTTCCTTCATTTTATTATTCATATTGGAACACAACACTTTTTTTTTGGTTGAATTTGATGATTGAGTTTTTGTCACTTTGGAATTTTGTTTATGCTTCATTATCTCAGCTTTTTTTTATAATTTACTTTTTACTTACTCTGAAATAATAAGAAATAAATAATATATTTTCAGAATCAATATACAAAAAAATATTATAAATTTATCCAAAAGATTTAATTAAAAAACAGAAAAACTTGTTGACAAAGTTATTCTATGTTATGATTTGAGGTTAGGTTCATGATATAAAACTATTTGACTTAAAATACTTACTTTTAGAAAAATATTTGAGGTTTAATAGTAGCCAATATTTTATAACATATAATTACACTATTTTTATAATTAATATCACATATTAGCAAAATAAAATCTTATAAATGTACACTGTCTCACTTAATCGGGACAAGCCGAAAAACATATGTCCGTATTACACTCACGTAAATAAGTGTAGGTATTGTGAGACACTCAGATTTAAAATATTGTAATAAAAAAAAAAAAAACGCATAAATGTGTATATAAATAAAGTCTATTACTCATCAGCTTTCAATTGATATATAATTTAATATAAAAGTAGAAGACACAATGAAATTACACTAATATAAAAAACTAGGTAGCCGTTGTCGTTTTACTATTCTCGGTCGTGGCTTTGAGCACAGATAACAAACCTCGCACTTTAATAAATATTTTTAAAAAACAGTATGGAATTAATTAACAACCAAAGTCGAAAATTGCTTTTGGAATAGATGAAATAATATATTTATTATACTTTTGGTATGCTAGCGGTGTATTTTTTTTTTTATAAAATAGTATTTTTATGTAGTGTATCATAAATGGGGACATCGTCTCATAATAGGGACTTTTACCTTAATTTAAAAAATTTTTGTAACAAGTAAATTATGATAAAAAAGAATTAGAAAAAAAATTGACATTTAAAAATTAAAAATCCAATTTTTGAAAAATAATTTTTTGGAACAAATTTATTTGTTAAAAAATAATTACCAAAAATTTTAATTAAGTGAAATAGAAATATTAATACTTACTCGTCAAAATTTTCAAAGAACTGGATCGACATCATAAGATTGTTCAAAATAAACAACTCCGGATCTTGCTCAATAGTCCGTCGAAGAAGCTGGAGCTCGTGGTCTGCCGTCCAGCTATCGTTTCCAGTGAGCGGCTGGTCTCTAGATCCGACGGAGGCTGATGTCAATCTGTCATCGTCTTCGTTCCGCTTCCCGGTCCTCTTAGATCGTGACTTTGAATTTCCCATTCCTGACTTCGACGGACCTTTAAGCGATTCTGGCTTGTTAGTCGCAATTTTGGCGTATTATTTTATCACAGTTCAAATTAAAAGTTTGATTAATAATTAAAAACAAATAAATAAATAGCTAAGTTGGTGTATTAATTGTTTGACGGTTATCCGATTAACTGGAAAGTGTTCTTCATGTTTGTACACCCGTGTTAACGAACTGCGATCACACTGCCCGACTAGAGACTGAGCACTGTACGGTAGATTCACCGGCTTACCTTGCGATAAATATCTATCCACGTTATCGAAACGCACTCGGTCTTTTTAATTCGACGTCTCTATCGACAATTGATAATTATTTTGTCGAGTTAAAAATTCCGAGAAATCAGAGGCTTACTCATGAAACAGAAAAAAAATTATAATAAATTATAGTAAGAAGATATATATTATATATACCTTTAATTTAATTATTTAATTAATTTTTTCACACTTCAATGATGTCAATTGCTAAGACCTCAGTTATCATTATTCTTTATATGATAACCGAGATTTAAAAGCAAATAAAAAATTACTCAATGATCCCCTGGGTAAAATGATGCAAGTAAATCATTGTTATATTAATTATCAAGTTGGATAAAAATAGTTTTATTGCTAGTTATAAATTATTAAACATTCCAAGGTTTTAAAATTTTTCCAAGTAATGATGAGTCAAAAATTCTTGCCAAATCTAATCTCAGTTATCTCATGATTATATAATAAATATAATCTTACAACTACTTATATTATTTATTATTAAACATACTGAGAACAATAGTATCATATATTTTAATGTTTTAATTTGTAACGGGTACTTTTTGACCAATTTTTACCCCTGGCTCGATTTTAACCTCGCCGGAGTCCAGGATTCTAACGAGGGTAATTTCTAAATTAATCAAACTAGATATTTAATTAATATTAACAAAACAAAACCCCTTTATTTCAATAAACCAAAACATTAAACATTATACAAAGAAAAACGGCGAATAATCAAACTAAACCCATACATACACGGCGTTTACAATTTCTATTACCGTCGTCGGTAATATCATACTCCCGTCGCTTACAAAATCACGTCGCTAATTCCCCTCCGTCGGCCCTCTGGTGCCCAGCTCCTGACGGGTGACTAGAGCCGCCCCGCAGGCCCTACTTCGCGATTCCCAAGGGAAGAGTGAATAGAATCCACCTACTCGGCTGGGGTTGCCACCTTTTGGCAGAAGGCCTCCAGGTGGAAAGTCGCCTTTATTTGTAGGTAGATAAGTTCATTTACCTGTGGTAGTCCGCACCAGGTAGAGAGAACTCCCTTTTAATTCCTCTTCCCAGGGGGTTCGCACTCGTATGTATAAAATAATAGTAGGATAGTTTCTGAGTCAGGGTCTTTAGGGCCGATGGCGCTGTGAGCGCAGCAGCAACATGTATAGTATAATCAGACAATAGTATATGAAATATATAGTAAAATACAATTCAAATATTTTTATTTGTAAAATTATTAAAATAAATAAATCAAATAATAAATCGTTATTTTAATTGCTTATATATTCATTTAAATTATAATTAAGATAGTTATAAGTAAAAAACATGGATATTTCACTTATCCTGGGTACAACCCAGTTCATATATCTTTGTCATATCTAAAATGTAGTGTTATTATTGCAATATTGAATAAAACTTACCAAAGCTGCGTTAACAGTTGCTAAATTATTTTTATCACCGAGATTATCATGAAGACTATTGACTACTACAAGGTCCCTAATTTTGGAGTTATCCACCTCAGCACTAGCATCAACACCAAATGAAGCTGGAACAGCGGCATCAAGGGACAAAAAACTATCTTGATGATCAACGGCAACAACACAAGAATTGTCATGATCGAGATGAAGATTTGTGTCAAAATTTATAGCTTGAGCTGATGGGATTAGCGCTTGACTATCAACAGCAATATCTGGATAAGCATCCTCCTTTAAACATCTTCGATTTCCCGAAATTTTTATTATAGAACTAGAAAAATGTTTGTGACAAAGAGGATACTTCCAAAGTAGATCTGATGAAATTTCATACATTTTTGGCACGCACTTAATCATCGCTCGCCATGTCAAAGCGCGAATTTCGTCCTTAGGAAAATAATGTTTCGGTATGGATTTACCTGACGAGGAACATCCCAACACTGAACATTTATATCCCATTGAGGTGTTTTTTTTTTTTTATGACATTATCAGTAAAACAAATTTTTTTTACTATGTTCAGAAATTATAATTTCAATATAAAAGATAGGTGGAACGTGACTATTAATGTGTATCCAATTAAAAACAAAAGACGGTTGGGTTGTCAATAAATCAATGTATTGAGTACCCATTAAAAAAAATATAAATATTCTTACACAGAAATAAATTATTTAATAAAATTTTTTAAAATTATTTATTTGCTAATTGTTAACTTTTGTCTTTGTTTTGTTACATTAAAAAACTCTAGGCTTTTAATAATTAAATGACAAAAAATAAATACATGACAAATTGGAGCGCCAAAATTTAAAATGACAATAAGATGTTTATATTTTATAGAAATCAAATTATTTATTAAATTAATTAAAATTAAACACAATTACATTAAAAAGAAAAAATTATTATCAAAATGTAAAAAAAAAAATAATCTATCTTAACATTAAAAAGATAAAACTTTAATATTTGCTGTTTAAATTTTTAATAAAAATAAATGTTCATTAAAATTATTAGAAATTTTCTATTTATTTAATTAAATAAAATGTGAAATAATTAAAAAAAAAAATGATCAACGTGAAGAGATTAGAATCCAGTTTTCACGGGCGCAAAACATAAGACTTGACCACACCGGTAATCACTGCTTATGAGACCAAGAATGAGTTCTACATATAAGCTGTATTTGAGAAATTACAGTTGTACCCAGGATAAGTGAAATATCCATGTTTTTTACTTATAACTATCTTAATTATAATTTAAATGAATATATAAGCAATTAAAATAACGATTTATTATTTGATTTATTTATTTTAATAATTTTACAAATAAAAATATTTGAATTGTATTTTACTATATATTTCATATACTATTGTCTGATTATACTATACATGTTGCTGCTGCGCTCACAGCGCCATCGGCCCTAAAGACCCTGACTCAGAAACTATCCTACTATTATTTTATACATACGAGTGCGGACCTGAAACCCTGAAACTCAGTGAAAGGTTGCTCAACGGCGGATAATTTTTGGGCTTTATCAACCCAAAAATTATTAATAAAAGCGAAAAGTATTGGCAAATTATCGCCACCTGTCGCTCGCCGTCGAACTTCAGGAAATCCCCGAAAATTTATAAGTTTTTAATTTAATTTTCAAAATTAAATATCAAATTCATTCAAACAATTCATCAGATTACAATAATTTCATACAAAAATAAATATTTTACCAAAATTATTTCCCATACTAATTAAATTTCTGGGACTTAGAAAAATAATTAATTGGATATTTCGAATTTATTCGAAATATTTTAATCACTTAATTATTTCAGATAAAGTAAATTTTTGTTCTTTCAAAGAACAAAAATTATCGTGACGCGGATTCGCTTATCTTAGCTCGGCGAGTTTGATCTGCAAGCGAACCGTCGACGCCATCTATCGTCGCTCGGTGGCGAACTACTAAATTCATTTTTCTTTAAGACGTCGTTTAAAATAATTTTAAATAAAGAAATAATTAAACAAATAAAATCATATACAAATTATTATTATTTATAATAATAATCGTCGGAAACAAAAAATAAACGAAACTCAAAACGAAACTCGTTAAAGTAATTAGTTCAAATAATTATTCTAAACGACGTTTCGATAATTTAACAATTAATACCTTTAAACAATTAACAAAAATAATTAGACTCATAAACAAAAATAAACTTATATACATAAATGCCGTGGCATTTTTTTTTTTTTGGTTTGAGAAAGGTTATTTATTTTGATTGTTAGTCTTTTTACATAATTAAGTAACAAATACCTTATAAAACTTACTCACTAATTTTTGAATTTAAATATTTTAGTAGTCTTCAAATGAAGCGTCTCTCTAAAAAACAATTATATTAAAAATATTATAAACTTGAAAATTCCTGTTATACAGTGACTATTATTTAAATAAGTAAATATGTGATGGGAAAAAAAAATTAAAAAATAATAAAAACCATCCAAACAGTATCGGGCCTGAGAGGCCGGTTAAATGCCGTGGCACGGGTAGTCAACGCGGTCGTGGTAGCGATGGCTCGCTCGGTCCGTCGATGAGTCCCGTCTCTCGTCGCTCACGACACCCCTCCGCCTCCTCGCTTATAATACCTTCTTCACAAATTACAGGTTGAGCCGGTGCAATGGACTTTTGAGAATATTGATGTCAACGAGGACGCGAGTCCCAGCGAATTGCGTCATCTAGCCGATTTTCTTTCAAAAAAACATTTCGACCTGGTGATAAATCTGCCAATGCGCAATGGAGGTGCTCGCAGAGTCTCTAACTTTATGACTCATGGGTACAGAACACGAAGACTCGCTGTTGATTATTCAGTACCTCTGGTGACTGATGTCAAATGTGCTAAGCTTTTGGTTGACGTAAGTTTTTTTAATTAATTCAATTAAATTGTCAATTCTAGCAATCTTGTGGTCACTATGTGACTGCGGTGATTTGTAAACTATAAATAAATAAAGTTTTGCTTTATTAAATAATAACTAGTTAAATTGCACTGTACTTTCTTAAATATTGACGTTTTTAAAGATATAAGCTCATCCCGATGTTACACTCATCTAGAGCTTTCATTTGAGTACCCACATGCATTTTTATATATTTTTCATATATACATACATATAAATATATGAAATATATGAAAAATTGATGTGGGTATTCAAATGAAAGGTCTTGATGAGTGTAACATCAGGATGAGCTTATATCTTTAAAAATATCAATAGTTCACAAGATACAGTGCAATTTAACTAGTTATTATTTAATAAAGCAAAACTTTATTTATTTATAGTTTACAAATCACCGCAGTCACATAGTGACCACAAGATTGCTAGAATTGACAATTTATATATATATATATATATATATATATATATATATATATATATATATATATATATATATAAATATATGAAATATATGAAAAATTGATGTGGGTATTCAAATGAAAGGTCTCGATTAGTATAATGTCGAGGTGAGCTTATATCTTTAAAAATGTCAATATTTCACAACATACAAGGCCATTTCTTAATTATGTAACTAGAGATAGAGCATTTTCGAATGTAGCCTAAATACTTATCTTAACAAATTGATTATCGGCGAGAATGATATGAAACTTTGAAAAGGCACAAGTTTAAATCAAGATCTTTGCAATGACACTAAAAAAAACCGATTTTATCATATGACAATTCCGGACACAAAATTTTTCTTATTCTCTTAATAATATAGATGTAATAAATAATCTGTTATACCGATTAATTAATAATTTCAGGCTATCAGCAAGTTGGGGGGCAAAGCACCAAGAATGAAAACACACACAGATTGCTTATCATCAAGACGGATGATAAAACTCCCGGGTTTCATTGACATCCACGTGCACGCACGGGACCCAGGTGCTACCGAGAAAGAAGACTTTGCTTCATGCACAGCAGCGGCTTTAGCTGGTGGTATTACCATCATTTGCGCGATGCCCAACACTAACCCTGCTGTAGTAGATCATCAGTCGTTTGCAATTGCGAAAGAACGCGCGGCTTTGGGAGCCCGGTGCGATTACGCTTTATTTTTGGGAGCCTCTTCTGAAAATTACACTATTAGCCCTGAAATAGCGCCCCTTGCGGCGGGGTTGAAAATGTACCTGAACGAGACCTTCACCACCCTGAAGCTTACAGACCTGAGCATTTGGGTGAAGCACTTTGAAAGCTGGCCAAAGAATTACCCTCTTTGTGTACATGCGGAAGGACAAACCACCGCTGCAGTCCTTCTTCTCGCTAGTCTTCACAACCGGCCGGTTCACGTTTGTCACGTCGCTAGGAAGGAAGAGATTCAGATTATTCGCGCGGCCAAAGAAAAAGGCCTCGCTGTCACCTGTGAAGTTTGTCCGCATCATTTGTTCCTGAGTACTGAAGACTTGGAGCGTATTGGTCACGCCAAAGGACAAGTCAGGCCTATGTTAAGAACTCTTGAGGATCAACAGGCTCTTTGGGATAATATGAATATTATCGATTGCTTTGCAACTGATCATGGTAATTATTTTTAGTTTATTCAAAAAATTTAATTACAAAAATTCATCATTAAATATCAAAATTTTTTAAATCTGTTAAAATAATTTTTTATGTTACTAAAAATTGAAACAAAATGATAGCTTTTAATCCACAGACTCGGTAGAATCTGGCGCCAAGTTCCGTTCAAATCCGTTGTCAACGGAGCGCCAGACTACCGACTGTGTTTACTGTAAGCAGAACGGTATTTTGAGGTTGCAAAATTTTATTTAATTCTACGGTACTTTTTTTTCCTAAATTGTATATTATAACAGTAATTCATACTTTATTTTACTGTTATTAATTAATTATATTCACTTATAACAATTAATCTACTTGAAA